ATTACAAGGTTTTCTGAAGTCTTTGAGATGATGGATAGTAACCAGTGTTCCCCCAAGGCAGCTTAGCAATGTTAAGTCCTTGTTTCAGTTTCTGTGACAAGAGGAAATCAGGATCAGCAGTAGAATTATGAATGTATCATGATGACTCTGATTACAAGTTTGATTGCTTCAAAATTCTATGTGTAAGTTTTCCAAGAGATCCAATGTTTTTGAAAAATAGCTCCAGATAGAATTGAATACATTTTAAATTTCAGTTATAGCAGAAAATTATTCATATTCAAGAACTGACAAGATTCATAGAAAACTTCAATGTTATGTTTCCGCTTGGTGTCAAATGACTGAAATTCTGTCCACCTTTCTGCCTCTCTGGACTGTTGAAAGAGATCTGATCTCTCCTCAACTGATAACCTTTTATTGTGCAAGAAAATTGTTTCCTACTTCTTCACATATTCTCATCTTTGCCTAGTGAAAAGGGTCATTTATAATATCTTCAGCTGCTCCTTATATAGTCTGTTTGAGTATTTAGTCTCTGAGTATCTCAGTGTAATATGAAGAATGAAGTATGTTTTGACCAGGGGTCAGGGGGACAGAAAAAAAATTCTTTCCTTTTTTCTAAATATGGGCACATGTATTTTGGCAGCTATACTATAGTCTTGAGACACTGAGCAAAAAACACCATGTCTTTGACTCATTGCCCTGTGCAATGCCTCCTCCATTCTTTGCTGGTCATGATGGGAGTGGATTGGTTTTGCTGTGCACTTGTCATGTAATTGTTTATGTTAAATTTCAACACGTGATTCGTTCTTTGCTCCAATTTCTCAAGATTTGGGAGATATTAATTTGTTTCTTCCAGTTTTATACCATCAGCATGTTGTCAACTCTGTATATCTTTTTTTAAAAAAATATATTAAAAAACTGAAGGAGTGATGGTTAAGCTTTGAGCTTTAACAACAGTATTAACGGTATCCTATAGGCTTCTAATCTAAATTAATCCCAGACTTAATATGTTGTTAAACACAATCTGTGTCCAGATTTATAGGCTACCTCTTAATACCTGTGAAACTTTGGTCAAGAAACTTATTTTCTTACCTACAGAGGGATTGTATATATCAAATGGAATAACATAGTAAGTGTTAACTTTTACTTTGTAGAGTATGTAAGTGATCAGGGTTCAGACTGTGTTACCCATATCTCTATGTAAACCTAGCTCTTTTAGGCACATGGATACTTTTAAGGAAATCATTTTATAGATCCTAAACTTCATTAGGTCTTTTTGTTTAGAACCCCTCTCCCTAAAAGAAGAATTTCTCACATCTTTGTTTTCTCTTTCTTCCCCTTTCGTAGTCAACCTTCTCCGAATTAACAAATCATAGACCTGGGATGTAAAATCTAAAGATTCTATTCAGTGCTATAATTAGAAATGAAAATACCAATATAAGGAACATGGGGCTATCAAGTATGTGTTGGGGTGTTTAGTTGACTTTCAGGGTGGTTTTTTGTTTGTGATTGATTGATTGATTGATTGATTGATTTTGTGTGTGTGTGTGTGTGTGTGTGTGTGTGTGTGTGTGTGTGTGTGTGGGCGTGTGCGCGAGGTGTGTGTTGGTGTGCGCCATGGCATATGTGTGAAAGAGAATAACTTGCAGGAGTGTTCTCTTTCCATTATGTGGGTCCTAGAGATCAAACTTGGGTTATCAGACTTGTCTGCACATACCTCTATCTGATGAGTCATATCTGATGAACCATCTCCCCCCTTTAAAAAAAATTGTTGCTTTCAACTAGATTGTTAGATCGTCAAAGATAATTTTTGATCCTTTGGGATTTTAAGCATATGCTTTGGACTTTACATAATAATGGAACAACGATATAACAAACTATTTTCATTTTCATCTTTGAGTTTATGTGAACAAAATGTATTAGTACTGATTCCTCTCCTCCCCCCAAAAGAAGAAAAATAATAATGAAATTATTACTAAATTATTATTGTGGCAATAAGTATTATCCATGAATTCAGTAACACATTTTAAAAATCTTGTCTATTTTAAAAGTTTTTTTCTAATAAAAATTTGTTGTCAGTATTTTAATAAAGGATTATAATTATAATACAATAATAAACTAGACTTTAAGATTTAAAATTGTCAAGTAATAAAGTAACTTAAATGCTCTTATTTTGATGTGAATTGTATGTCAAAATACACTAGGGAATAATTGTGGGAAATGTTGAAAGGAAATATGAGTTACAGTATAAAATATCCAGTTGTTAAATGAAGCATTTGTTCATTAATATGTTTGAAGTGATGATAATTGATAGCAAATTGCTATTCTGTTCATATTGTCCTAGATTAAAGAATGAAGGGCTGGGCGTGGTGGTGCATGCCTTTAATCCCACCATTTGGGAGGCAAAGGCAGTTGGATCTCTGTGAGTTCAAGGCCAGCTTGGTCTACATAGCGAATTCAGGTCAGCTAGGGCTACGGGGAGACCCTGTCTCAAAAAAAAGAGAATGATATAACATTTCTAATTTAGAAAATCATGTATAGTGAGCCAGAATTTACAGATAACATTCTTTGCAATGCTTAAATTTGTGCTGAAAATTTTTTACCTGTCATCCTAAAATATGTGAGTGGTATATTACTTTAAAATTTTTAGTTAGAGCTGAGCATGGTGGCACACACCTTTAATCCCACCATTTGGGAGGCAAAGGCAGTTGGATCTCTGTGAGTTCAAGGCCAGCTTGGTCTACATAGTGAGTTCTAGGCCAGCTGGGGATGCAGGGAGACCCTGTCTGAAATAAATAAATAAATAAATAAATTTTTTTTTTTAAGCTTAGTAGTACTCCTCTAACTTCTTATTTTGGTTAACATCACTACCATGAATCCAGCTCTATACATTGGAGGTAGGGTTGTGGGGGGACAGTCTCTTAGCCAGGCAAAGCTCAAAACTCATGCAAGGGATTATCACATGCCTCATTGCCCCCACTGTTGAATCTCGTTTGTTCTGTGTGATCTTGCATGATGAGTTACTTCTCCAAAACCTTACTCCATTCCTTCTCATTTGATTTCAGTTCCTTCCCTGTGTACTGTCTCCTGCCCGAGCATATGGAATGTTTACTTAAGCCAGAATCTTCCATTTCCTAACTACCAAGTGAATTCTTCCCCATATGATTTTTATGTAATCTATAAATAAGTAGAATGGCTTGGGTGAGAAAAGGGGAGGGGAAGAGTGCAGGAAAGAGGAAGGGGTATCATCCCATTCCACAGATGTATCATTAATCTATAAGCTACTGATTGCTTATTCCTGGTAAAGCCACACCAGCTCTGCTAGGGTTACCCAAGGTTTTTTGGCTCATTCTAGAATCTCATTTAGGATTCATGACATATTCACCAGAGTAAGAAATAGATTTATTGATTATTTACTAATTATATTTAGTATGCTAAGTATTTGGTAATTGTACCTCATTGCTTTCCAGTTATTCTGTAAGGTAAATAATTTCTGTCCAGTAGTTACCAGAGGAAACTAAAACCCAGAGAGAAATTAGATACTTCAGGTTACAAAGTGAACAACTGGTAAAGTTAGAAATTAAACTGATTCTGAAGTCCTTTATTTTTCCATAGTACCATGCTGCCTCTAGTCTGTTGGCAGAGCCTTTCTTTCCCTTTTAAAAAGCCATATAACAGGTAGCTATCTAGTTTCTCATACTTTCTGTTCCAGAATTTTTTTATTTATTATTTTTATTTTATGTGTATGCATGTAGTGCCTGCATATGGGTAAGTGCACCCATGTTGTGCAGTGCCCGTGAAGGACAGAAGAGGCTGTCAGATCCCCAGGAACTGGAGTTACAGACAGTTGTTAGCTACCATGTGGGTGCTGGGATTCGAACCTGGGTCTTCTGCAGGAACAGTAAGTGTTCTTAACAGCTGAGCCATCTCTCCAGCCCCTGTTCCAGAAGTTTTGAGCCAGTGTGCTTACAAATGTCCTCATCTTCCTGGAATATAACTTCCCTTGATTAGAAGATATGAACTCATGTAGATCTCTTCATAACTCTGGGATATCAGCTACCATTGGCTGGTGTTTAGTCTGCCTTTAATTCCTGCAGTCAGCCTTGATATTGACAGAGAAAATGGGGACAGAAGAGGAATCAAGGAATTGTAGCTTATCTTCTGTTATCCACTGTTACGTGAGCAATAAGCCATATTGCTTAGTGGTTTTTCTCCCAAGATTGCCAAAGATGTCTGCCTTGGTTTTCCTTTGCACTTTATCTTCTGTAAGGCTATGCTCATTTAGCCTTCCTAGAACTGCTACTGCTTGGTACTTCATTTATTGATCTTCAGTCATTCTAGCCTTCATGTAAATTTTCTCTAGATAAGTGTTCTAGTCTCTCTGTTGCTGTGACAAAACATTCTGACCAAACCAACTTGAAGAGGAAAGGGCTTATTTCAGTTTACAACTTCCAGATGATAATCTATCCTTGAGAGAAGTCAGGGCAGGAACCTGGAGGCAGAAGCTGAAGCGGAGACCACATAGGAATGCTGCTAACTGATTTGCTTCTTTGGCCTGCCCTCAGCTTGTTTTCTTATAACCCAGACCCATTTGCCCGGGGGTGGGGGGTGGGGGAGGACCCTCCCACATCATTCAACAATCAGGAAAATGCCTCAGAGACATGTCCACAGGCCAGTAGATAGAGGAAATTCCCAGTTGAGGTTCTCCTTTCCCAGGTGTACCAGGTTGACAGCTGTCAAGTTGAATTATCCTGCACAATAGGGGATTACTTCAGTCTGTAGTGTAAACCCTATCATAATCTGTTTTTTCTTTATGATAATTTCAAAGAAAAATATTTTGAAAGTAAAAAATTCAGTTAAAATGTAGAATTTTTACATTTGGAGATTTCTAAATGTTCTTGACTATCTTCCCAGATGAGATTTCAAGCTGTAGACTCATGTTTACCTTTTTAAGGTAACATCTGATTTTATACTGAGGCTTTTCCTCTCTTGCTACCTTCATAGTGGTGAGTAGTCTTTTTATTCAGATTTTTGTTTCAGAGTGTCATTTCACTCAAAGTGCTAAAATGTCAGCGTTCAGCTGAACTGTTTGACAAACAAAATGTCAGCAGGTGATCCTTAATATCTCTTTCCATGACTATAGTCTTTCTTTCTGCTGGTTTTCTGGTCTGCTAGGGACATATTTCCTGTCCAGTTGGTCTGTAATCACCTCCTTTAACCCAAGGACCTCCCCCCCACACACACACATTTTGACTAGAAACATTTTAGTCTGCTCTTAATCTCACCTAATCTAAATACTGCTGTGAGATCATATTTTCTATACCGGTTTGTGATTCTAATAAAATACTTTCTTTTCTCACAAATAATTACTTTTTTTTTTGGTCTTTTTGAGACAAGGTCTCCCTGTAGCCCCAGCTGTCCTGGAACTCACTGTGGAGACCAGGCAGGCCTTGAACCCACAGAGATCCACCTGCCTCTGCCTCCCAAGGGCTGGGATTAAAGGCATGCACCACCATATAAATAATTATTTTTGTGTGTGTGTGGTCTTTTTGAGACAGGATCCCCCCCCGTAGCTCCAGCTGTCCTGGAACTCACTATGTAGACCAGGCTGGCCTTGAACTCACAGAGATCCGCCTGCCTCTGCCTCCCCAGTGCTGGGATTAAAGGTATGTGCCACCAAGCCCGGTGCAAATAATTACTTTTAAAAAAATTTTACTATTTTTCTTTTATGTGTATGCGTGTATTGCCTACATGTAGGTAAGTGCACCCATGTCGTGCAGTGCCCGTGGAGGACAGAAGAGGCTGTCGGATCCCCTGGAACTGGAGTTATAGACAGTTGTTAGCTGCCATGTGGGTGCTGGGATTCGAACCTGGGTCTTCTGCAAGAACAGTCAATGTTCTTAACCACTGAGCCATCTCTCCAGCCCCGCAAATAATTACTTTTTTAAAAAACTAAAAACAGGCTGGGCATGGTGGCACACACCTGTAGTCCCAGCACTCGGGAAGCAGAGGCAGGTGGATCTCTGTGAGATCGAGGCCAGCCTGGTCTACATAGTGAGTTCCAGGTCAACTGAGGCTGCAGGGAGACCCTGTCTCAAAAAGCCAAAAAAAAACCCTAAAAACAAATGATTGCTAGTTTAGTAAAATATACCAATGTTTGAGATAAAAAATGCTAAAAATTTTTGTTCCTCTATAGTTTATAGTCTAGTATTCTTTTTTTTTAAACATATATATATATTTTTTATGTGTATGAATGTATTGCCTTCATGTATATGAGTGCACCTGTGTCGTGCACTGCTGCAGAGATCAGCAGAGGGCTTTGGATTCCCCTGGAACTGGAGTTAAGGATGGTTCATAGCTGCCATGTGGGTGCTGGGAATCAAGCCCAGGTCCTCTACAAGAGCAGTCAGTGCCCTTAACTGCTGAGCTATCTCTCTAGCCCCTAGTCTAGTATTCTTTTACATTAACCAATATATAGTCTCCTTAAGGAAAATCATTTTATGGTTTATTTCTGCACAAATGTTTGAACATAACATTTGGAGATTTTTCACCCACTGAATTAGAAATTGCATTTATTGGTACTAAAAATATTCAGTCTCAACTTAAAAGGTTAACCCCTTTCTAATTTTACCTTTTTTTTGAGCAGGATTCACCAAAAGCCCAGCTACGCAGGACAATAGAATGTTGTCGGACCAATTTATGCAACCAGTATTTGCAGCCTACACTGCCCCCTGTTGTTATAGGTAGGTCAGCCCAGAGAAGTCCAAGTATAATTCTCTGCAACTCCTTTTCTCTGCCCTGAGCAATAAACAAGTCACCTAGAATTGAGTGCTCTCAGTTTGTTTCCCTTCATCTTAGTAAGATGCAGTAGAAAGACTGTGCTTACTTCATTATTACTTCTTTTGTCAGGTCCATTTTTTGATGGCAGCATTCGATGGCTGGTTGTACTCATTTCCATGGCTATCTGCATAATTGCTATGATCATCTTCTCAAGCTGCTTTTGTTACAAGTAAGATACTCGTTCTGATGAAAATATCTTGTTAATTCTATATTAGCAATTATTTTTTAAAGCAAACTGCAAAAATCATTGACTGCTCTGTGTAATTCAGATATCATTAATTTGTATCCTGTGTTACAGATCTTTAACTCTGTTACAGTTTCCCTAGAAGGAAAGTGGTCTTTAACTACCAGTTAATTGGATACTGCTTTATTCTCTTATGTTCAAGAATACTCAGGATTTTCTTGTTTAGAGTAGTGACCTTTGTTATATCTGAAGTTTTAAAACAGCTCTAGATGAGATAACCTGTCTTGTAGTTTAATCGTTTGGGGCCTTCAGTGAAAGAGGACTATCAGTGAAACAGATTAGTAAACCCACAAATAAATCTAAATACATAAAAACATTTACTGTATAATAACAATCATTTCAGAACACCAAGGAAAAGATAAATTCAATAAATAGATTTGAGGAAAAAATGCAATTGGAACAATTCTCTTCAGTGAAATATATTTGGACCAGATTAGATTAGAACTATATATTCATAGAGCTGGAAGACCTTTCTGAGTCTGCCTCAACTTAGAAGCAAGCAAACAAATACAAAAAACGTAATGGTAAAATAGTGTCCATGACATCAAAACAAAACTTTGTGATAGAAACCTTACTGCAATGATGGGAAGACAGTGCTAGTGAAAAATATTGGCAGCTAGTCTTGCAAAGACTTGATTCACAAATGTAAAAAGCTTCTATAAATCAGAGAGGTAAAAGTATAATTCATTGAAGAAATAGACCAAAAAAGTGAACATAGGGGGCTAGAGAGATGGCTCAGCAGTTAGGAACACTGACTGTTCTTGCAGAAGACTGGGTTCGAATCCCAGCACCCACGTGGCAGCTAACAACTGTCTGTAACTCCAGTTCCAGGAGATCCGATGGCCTCTTCTCTCCTCCACAGGCATTGCAGGACATGGGTGCACTTACCTACATGCAGGCAATACACGCATACATAAAAAATAAAAATAATAAAATATTTTTTTAAAGTGAACATAGTTTAAATATAAAAGAAATATACATGGCTCTTTTTAAAAAGAAAATATCAAGAATATTCTCAATGTGAAAATTATAAAATCTGAGGCTTTCTTTTTTTTCTCTACTGTAATATTGGTAAAGAGTCACATTTTGTGTGTGCAAGAACAGGCTAGAGGTAGGCATCGATTGTCTTTCTCACTCACTTTCTACCTTATTCCTTTGAAATAGGGTCTGGTCTCTCACTGAACTGGAGCTTTCCATTTGGGCTAGACCAGTTGGCCAGCAAGCCCTAGGGATCCTCCTGTCTTTGCTTCCTCAGTGCTGGGGTAACAGGTGTGTGCCACTGAGCCCAAATTTTATGTGGGTGCCAGGGTTCACACTCTGGTTCTAGTGTAGTGGCATGTGCCTTTAATCCCAGCACTTGGGAGGCAGAGTCAGACAGACCTCTGTGAGATCCAAGCCAGCTGGAGCTACATGAAAACCCTGTCTCAAAGAATCAAAAGAAATAAACAATAAAAACCATACCTCAGTTCCTTATGCTTGGATGGCGAGTACTTTACCAACTGAACTATCGCCCCAGCCCCTCACATGTTCGACAAAAGATTTTCCTTAAGATAAAGGTAGTAAATTGAGCATGATAATTTACTTTTACTATCCCACTTAGCTTGGGCAACAACACACTGAGATCATATCTGAAAAACAAAACAAAATTATTACCTCCCTGATTCTTTGGATCAGACGTTGGCAAGAGTGACTGACAGGGTGCCAGGGGTCTTTCATGAGCCTCCAGTCAGATGTCAACTGAGGTTGCATTCATCTGGAGGCCAGATGAGCCAGAGGAACACCTTCCTAGGCGGCTTATTTCCAAGACTGACAAGTTACAGCTTGGCTTTTAACAGGAGACCTTAGTGCCTCTGTACAGAGTCACATTTGGCTTGAGTATCCTTACATGACAAAGCCTGACCTCCTATAGTGAATGACAGGGAAGAACAAGGTAGATGCTTCACGTTTATGATCTAGATTCAGAAGTCAGTCAAGCCAGGCATATTGTGAATGCCTGCAGTACAGGCACTTGGGAATTGGAAGCAAGCAGATTAGGAGTTTAAGGTCATCCTTGGCTACATAGCAAGTTGAAGAGCCAGTGTGTGCTACAAGGGGGAAAAAAGTCATACCAGCAGGGACTGGTGACACACACCTTTATTTAATTCCAGTACTCAGGAAGCAGAGACAGGCAGATCTCTGTGAGATTGAAGCCAGCCTGCTTTACATATCAAGTTCCAAGCCAGCTGGGGCTACTGGAAGACCCTGTTTCAAAAAAAAAGTCATACCATCACTTTTGCTATATTCTATTGATCACATATGTCAGCTCTGCTGTGTTATAGGAGAGAGTAAGCAAGGGAATGAACAATAGGAAGTGAGAACCATTGTGAACCTCAATTGCTGAGAACTTGACTTCTCTTACCACTTCACCATTTCTATAACAGAAGGCTAGAAGTATATTCTCTGAGCCAAGAATAGTGGCTTACACCTGTAATCCCAGCACCCAGGAGAGTGAGTGAGACAGGATTGCCATGAGTTCAAGGTCAGCCTGGGCTATAGAGTGAGACCTTGTTTCAAAACAAATTCTGGGAGGGGGGCGAAAACAGTTTTTCAATTGTGGTGCCCCTATTGCTAGGAGTGATACATTTTATGAAAACAGGACGCTATGGTGAACATTTAAATACTGATTGATGGGATGCTCATCTTTTGGTTTGTCAACCAACCTGTATCTTGTAAACATCAGCTAAGATAATTCTTAGAGAAATCTGTGCTATACAGGAGAAAAGTCCTAAAAATACTGCCATTAGAGTTAAAAGTAATGGCCTAGGCAGATTAAACCAGTACAGTGAACCCAGTACAGGAAACAAAGGAGGTCAGCATTAAGGTTGCCCATGTTCCTGCCTGAAGCAAGTTTCTAGCTTCATGACAGAGAGTCTCGGTGTAGCCCAGCGGAATCTTAGTTGAGGAGATGTAGGGGAGAGTCTGGGGAGACAGCAGCAGCTATAGTCATAGGACAAGGTGCTAGAGGAGAGAGAGCCTCCCTTGCAGGGAAAGAATTGATTTCTACAGATGATCACCATCCTGTATTGAGCAGAGAACTTGTCAGCATGCTCATATGAAAGAGCTACCCAAGGGTGGGGACAGAATATGTGAAAAAATTGGAAACACCATTTTGTGCTCACAGAAGGCTGAGAATTGTGTCTGTTATCACCATCTTTGAGATTAGGAAAGGATAGACCTTGGTTGAAGTGCTCAGGTCTTGCCTCAGTGGCCTGGAATAATTAATTAAGCCTTAGCCCAATAGTAGCTCTGGTCCCACCTTAAAAACAAGACCCTAAAGGCTAGAGAAGTGTCCCCATGATAAAGAGTATTTACTGCATTTGCAGAGCACCCAAGTTCAATTCCTAGCACCCCCATCAGGCAGCTCACAACTGACTATAATTCCAGTTCCATGGATCCAATGCCCTCTGGCCTCCATGGGTACCTACATTCAGTGTGGTACACATAAACTCATGCAGGCACACACATACAGATAAATAAACACTAAATTTTTTTTTAAAAAGCAAGAACCTAAAAGATCATTCTATTCTCAACCAACTGTATTCTAAAAAAAAATATGAAAATGTTTATAAGGAATACAGCATGTTATGATGTACATCTGTTATCCCAACCCTTGGGTGGTGGAGGAGGAGGATCAAGGTCATCCTCAGCTATATAATGCTTTTATCACCAGTCTGTCTAAGAAAGAAAGGGGCGTCGGGGCAGAGAAAGGGAATGAAAACAAACAGTATTTGTTGGAATATAAAACATTCAGCACCCAGAGGTAAAAGTTGCAATGTCTGCTGTCCAGTTAATGAGTGCTGAGTATGTAAAGAAGTAGGAAAGCAAGGCCCATAAGGAAGCAGTAAGCAAGCCATCAACTCACAGATGATGCAGTCTTGATAGCTGACAGGCAATCCCATTAAAAGAGTTGTAGCTATTCTATGCAAACAGTAATTTAAATAGAAACATGAGATTTTTTTTTAAGATCCAAATGAAACTTCAGGAAATGAAATCTAAAATATATTGGATGAAAATATACATTAGATAAGAGTAATGGTGATTCAGGTACTACATTAGAGTAAGTGTGAAGACATAGTAAAATCCATGCAAAAGAATTTTTGTGCATGTACACGCACATGTACATGTATGTGTGTCTGTTCATGTGTGTCAGTGCGGGTCTGCAAGTGCCACAGCATGCACTACAGGTCAGAGGACAACTTCAGGGGTTGGTCCTTGCCTTTTGCCTTGTCTGAAGACAGGGTATTCTGTTCACCACTGCACTCACCAAGCTAGTAGACCACTGAGATCCTGGGGGTTCCCGTCTCCACCTCATATCTCACTGTTGGAACACTGGGATTACGAACAGGTGCTACACTGCCCAGCTTTCTGTGGTTCCCAAGTTAGGTCTTCACTCTTGCATGGCAAGCACTTTACCATTGAGCTACATCCCTAGCTCCAAAAGAATATTTTAAGTGAGCTGTGAGAGAATTTCAGATGGTCACATACAGTTATCGTCAAAATCCCCAAGGGAAAGGGAGAAACAGAACAAAAATGTTTTAAACAGTAAATCTAAAAAGTTCAGTAAACTATAAATATCAAAAATATGAAGAAAAATAATGCCAAGCATACATATCATAATTATACTGCTCACAGTCAGTGATAAAGAGAAAAATTTTAATGCAGCTGGGAAAGGGAAGATCTTGTGTGGAGGCACACTTTAAAGATGGACAGCAGATTTTTTCATTGGAAACAATATAATCAAGAAAACAATAAACCAACATCTCTGAAGTATCCAAAAAAGAAAAAAGCATGGACATAGAATTTTCTACCAAGAGAAAATACCTTCAAAAACAAGGATGAGATAAAGACGTTGAGACATACCAAAGCCTGGAAGAATTCATCACCAGCAGGTTTGCATAAAAGTGCTAAAGGATGTTCTTCAAGTAGAAGGACCACGTGGAAACATGAATCATTGCCAAAGAATAAAGAGCTCTGGCAAAGGAGTTCAAGGGTACCTTGACAAACGAGCAGTAGCTTCACTAAATAAAAGAACATTGTTGTAGAGTCAAACTGAACTCAAACCAGTGAACTAGAACCCTTCACAAAATATGCACACTCTAGGAGCTGATCTTTTAGGCTGTCTTCCTGGTTCTCTAATATATTTGCACTGGAGAGAGGCTCAAGGGGTTCTTGTCACAGCATTCATATCAGCATGCTTCTAGGACTAACTGAGCTATAGCTGTTAGAGTAAGTTGTGGCAAATTCTTTTCCTTTTCCTTTTTTTTTTTTGAAAAATGCAAGTGCTCTTATTCACGTAAGCACAGAGTCAGGATCTTAAGCAAATGTCTGTGTGTATGTATGAGATGAAAAGAGGATCTGAGTTTTAAAAGCGCTATTTATAGCATAAATACCTTTTACAGCTGTGGTGCTACTTCACATGCTGGGTAGAGTTGTTTTGGTGTTTGTTTAGCTTTGGTTTGGAGAACACAGTCTCACCAGATAGCGCAGACTGGCCTTGAATTCAATAACTGCCTACCTAGTTCTCCCTAGTGTCACCTTAGCCCCTGGGTGTGTGTATGTTGGCATTTTTTGAGACAGGACCTAACTTTATAGCTCAGCCTGACCAGGAACTCACTATGTAGCCCAAGCTGGCCTCAAAGGAATAACCCTCTTCCTCCCAAGTACTGAGATTGCACAGGTGCTACCAAAACCAACTATTTTTTTAATCTTTTTTTTTTTCCCCACTTGCTAATAGACCATGGGCATCTCTCAGTATTAGCAAGAAACATGGTATTTCTCATGGACTTGATTTCTAGGCATATTATCACAGAACATAGGTTCTTTCTTATGGTAAGATTAATTTGGATATGATGCTGACCGAAGGTGATGATGTGAAGAACCTCAAGTACTTTCTTAGCTCAGAATTTCATAGTGTTAGAATTTTAATACTAATGGAATTGGTTTGTTTTGCTTTTTTGAAAGACATTATTGTAAGAGCATCTCAAGCAGAGGTCGTTACAATCGTGATTTGGAACAAGATGAAGCATTTATTCCAGTTGGAGAATCATTAAAAGACCTTATTGACCAGTCACAAAGTTCTGGTAGTGGATCTGGACTACCTTTATTAGTAAGTTAAAAGTTTTCTTATAAATACAAATGGTGTATTGATACAGAGGTGACATCATGGGATAGTGGACAGCATACTTATTGCAGATTAAGTAATAATAATGAGGGGAGAGGGCACACTGGAGAGATAACTCAGAGGTTAAGAGCACTGGCTGCTCCTGGAGAGGACCCAAGTTTGATTCCCAACATCCACATGATGGCTAACAACCATTGGTAACTCCAGTTCAGGGGATCTGGTGCCCTCTCTGACTTCCATGGGCATTGCACAACACAGGTGTCCTTACATACACATAAAATAATAATAATTAAAAAAAAATAAATAAATGATAATGGGGCTGGAGAGATGGCTCAGTGGTTGAAAACACTGGCTGCTCTTGCAGAGGACCCAGGTTTGGTTCCCAGCACCCACATGGCAGCTAACAACTGTCTGTAACTCCTGTTTCAGGGGATCTGACACCCTCTTCTGACCTTCCTGGGCATTACACACACATTGTGTATTTACATATATGGAGGTAAAACATACACATAATAAAAAATAAATTTAAAATTTCTTTTTAAAAAAGAAATATTGGGGCTGGAGAGATGACTCAGCGGTTAAGAACACTTAAGAACAGTGTTCTTGCAGAAGACCCAGTTTTGAATCCCAGCACCCACATGGCAACTAACAACTATCCGTAACTCCAGTTCCAGGGGATCCAACAGCCTCATCTGTCCTCCGCAGACATTGCACGACACGGGTACGCTTACTTACATGCAGGTATAACATTCGTACACATAAAATAAAAATAATAAAAATTTTAAAAAAAGAAATACTATCAGGCACATTTTCTACTTAATTAGAAAAATGTATGCAGTAATACAAGATGAAATTATTGAAAAAAAGAAATGTGAACCAAAGAAAGTTGAACACACAAGATAAAGCCATAAGTAAAAACAAAGTGAGAAGGTTATGATATGAAGTCTTAGACAAGTGCAAGAGTTAGAGCACATATTTTTCTCTAAGCATTTTTTCCCTTCTACTTCAGTATTGGAGTTTGAACTCAGAACCTTGGGGAAACTAGGCAAGCATTCTGCCACTGAACTACATCCCCAGTCCTTAGTCTTTTAGGCAAGGTCTTGCTGTAGAGATGAAGCAGATCTTGAATTTGAGATCCTTCTGCTTCTGCCTTTGCTTTCTGAATGATAGGATTGCAGGTGTGAGCCACCGTGCCTAGTTTTTCTAAGCATTTTAATAGCCAACTAAAAGAGGAATTAGATATAAGAGACCCTGCATATTTAAATTGATTGAGGAAAGTATAACTTTCAGATCTAAAAAGGGTTGTATATGGTGGTAACCTCAGGAGCAGAGAGGACTCTGAAACAACCCTCCTAGTAATACTAGATATTCAGGTAGGTTTTTAACTGTTTAATAGCATTAGTTGAAAGCAAATACTTGACATCTGATTTAAAAATTTGTTTAATGTAATCTATGAATTGGAAAGGTGAAAGTAGAACTGTCTTCCTGTGCATGCAGCATGTTTATGTAGAAAGTCCCAGGAATGGTGCAGTAAGCCTGCTACAACCAGTATGTGATCATAACAAGTTGCAGAATACAAAGTCATTTCAGTTTTGCTGAATTTATATACAATGGCAACAAATAGTAGAAATTGAAAGTTAAAAAGTAGTGTCACTTAAAATAGCATCAGAAAGCATGAAATGTTTAGAAATAAGCTTAACATGTAGGCAAAGCTTGTATATTGAAAATTGCAAATTGTTGAAATTAATAAAAATCTAAATAAGTGGAGGTCTAAATTCTTTTTTTTGAATGGTAGGTATCATCATTAAGTGTTAGGTTGTCTCAAGTTGAAAGGTAGTTTCATCTCAATCCAAAGAGAAATCAGAGCAAATTTACAGAAATGAATGTGCTGATTTAGATTTATGGAAGTGGAAAGGGCTAGAAGAGCCAAAATCAGAGCAGAGGACTCACTACATGTCTTCTAGACTTAAAAAGCTGCACTGGTTCGCATCATTTGGTGTTAGTGTAAAGACATGAATCAGTGGACTAGAACAGAGCCTAGAAAGAGATACTTATACAAGGTCAATGTGACTTTTTAAAAGATTTAATTGTACAGAGCTACATAAGGCCATTATTTTGTTTTAAGGTGGTGCCACAGTAATTTGGTGGTGAGATGATGCAGGGAAACACTGAGGCATTTATTAAATACAAAATAAATGTGTTCCCATACCTCACTCAGTACACAAAATTAAGTTGAAGTAGAGTGTAGGCCTAAATATAAAAGTTAAATAGACTGTAAAACCTCCAAAAGAAATTGTTAGAGAATAATCACTGTGACTTTTAATACACAAGAAGCATGAGCTTTATTGAAAGTTAAAATTTTTACTCTACAGAAAATACTGTTAAGAAAATGAAAAGACCATTCACAGGCTCCTAGAGTAGGTCTGAGAAATGATTTATGTGCAGAATATACAAAGAAATATAGCAGCTCCATAAGACAGATTACTTGGACTTTTTAAGTGGACAAAGGATTGGAAGAGACACTTTTCCAAAATAGATTAAGAATGACTGATAAGTACACTAAAAGTTGTTCTGCATCATCAGGAGATAGCAAGTTGAACACCAGAAGGTACTGCTACACAGCCAAGCCAGTGGCTAAGATTGACAGTGGTGATGAGGATATAAATTAACTTGAAATTTCATACATAATTGATTAGAATGCAAAATGGTACAGCTACTTTGAAAAATAATTTGACAGCTGACTAAAAAGTTAAGCGTATACTTTCTATACAACAAAGCAGTTCTTCCCCTATTTACCCATGAGATACAAAAATGTGTCAGCACAGAAGACGTGAAGGTGAAATGTTCATAGTAATCATAGCCTCAGAAAGAAGCTCACAGTTAGCAAATGGATAGAAAATTATAGCATGTTCATATAGTAGAATGCAGCTTGTCGATATGGAGGAACAAATCAGTAGAAAGAGATTAAAAGTCTAAAGCATTGTATACTCAGAGAAAGAAGCTAGATACAGAAGGCTACATATTATATCTGTTTATATGATGTTCTAGAAAAGGTAAAACTGAATGCCATGAGAGTAAGGAGTCAGCCATTAAAAATGGGAATTGTTTTAGGCATTGAAAATATTCTGTATCTTAAATATGGTCTCAGTGATTAGATGACTGCATTTGTCAAAAGTTACAGCTCAATTCTCAGAAAGTATACATTTTATTATATGTAAATCATACCTGAATAATCATGACCTTAACATTACAGGAAAATGTTTGTGCTAAATAATACGTGATGTAAGTCAGCTCAGGTTTGCGCAGTTCCTGCCTGTTTTAGATGCACTTCTAACTGGGAGAATCATAGTTTTTTGGTTTTTTTTTTTTGTTGTTGTTGTTTTTCATTTAAAATGACCACTAGTGCTTCTAAAAATGAAAGGTAAAGTACATACTGTACTTTAGGTATTATCCCCAATAAATATCTATGTTCTGTGATCCATGGGTATAATTCAAGTGAAGATGTATATAAATAACAAAATTTTAATTCTGACAAGTGTAGCAGAGAGAGGAGAGAGAGAGAGAATGTGTGTGTGCGTGCACTAAAATGGTGTTAATGTTAGACAAACAGCACAGTAAGAAAAATTGGGCATGTAGCAAGAGCCTTGTGACAGGAATAAACTTGTGAAGTTGGAAGAAGGAGAAAGTAAAGGGAGTGTAGGTAAATAAGCATAGTGGAAGCTGGGGCTGGGCCAGATCTTCTAGGTCTTAGAGACTGAGTTGAATTTTGATTATCATTTAGATTTTGCTGCATAGTAAGCCACCCTAAACTTAGTGACTTGAAGCTGTAATAAACATTTATTATTTCTTGTGATTATATGAGTCTGCCGGTTAGTTTGTTTTCTATACGTGCTCAGCTACCGAGAGGCTGTATAGTTTGACATGGGATTGGCAGGTGACCTGATGCTTCTGTCTATTGGACACAGGATTCCTAAGAGCATGAAGAAGGGGTGATCTGCAGTATACAAGTGTTTATGAAATCTTTGTTTGCTGCACATTTGCAATTCTGTTCTCCAAGGGAAGTCACTTAGCCAAAGCCTGAGTCAGTGGGCAAGGAGGCTTCTCAAAGTTGATTATTTTTGTAAAATCTATGCCAGTGACAAATCTATGTATGATTTTGGAAAACATAGTACATAGTTTTCTTTTAAATACTAGAACTGTGAACTTAGAGTTAGTAATTTTGCATTGGAGTTATTTGGGTATACCAGGCTTTTTGACGGGATGGCCTACACACCCCTTTGTCAGTCTTAATAGATTATTTTCATCAAGAACTCAAAACTCTTTACTCTTTTCTGTAAAGGTTCAGCGAACTATTGCCAAACAGATTCAGATGGTTCGGCAGGTTGGTAAAGGCCGTTATGGAGAAGTGTGGATGGGTAAATGGCGTGGTGAAAAAGTGGCAGTCAAAGTATTTTTTACCACTGAAGAGGCTAGCTGGTTTCGAGAAACAGAAATCTACCAAACGGTGCTAATGCGCCACGAAAATATACTTGGTGAGTACCATTTGACTTCAGAAAGTTCCTCATCTGGCTAGATAATTGGGGTACAGAGGAGAGCCTGTCATGTGGTGTGGGGATTCAACTTTATGCACTAAGCTAAAAAGAAATCCAGTAGAATTCACAATTTAAATATAACACAGGGGGCTAGAGAGATGGCTCAGTGGTTAAGAGTACTAGGTAATCTTAGGGAAGACCCAGGTTTGGTTCTTAGCACCCATGTAGAGGCTAACAACCATCTATAACTCAGGTTTCCAGGGAATCTTAACACCCTCTTCTGGCCTCTGCAGGTTTGCATGCATGTGGTACATTTACATACATGCAGGCAAAACACACAGTTTAAAAAATAATAATGAATTAAAAATAAAATAAATGTAACACAGTCCTGAATAAAGCAGGCACTTTATTTTACTACTGAGGCGGCGTTGAGTTTCAAATGGAAAGCAAATGCTGCTTTATTGGATTTACATAATAATGAAAACCAAGTCTTCTGTAGAGTTCTTAAATAGTTTTCTAGGGTAACTTTAACTGCATATGCCTTTTACCATTTGTTAGCAGAAGAACCCAGTGTATAGCTTCATTGCATTTTCTACACCGGATACATGTTTCTTTTCCACTTGATTTATACAGTAGTGAACTAATTTAGGTATCTGACCAGTAGAGTGCATGAACAGGTCTAGCCTTCCTGAATTTTCTTTTCAGCTACTCTTTTACTACCCCTTAATATGGAAGGTGCGTAGCCCATTGTCAAGCACAAATCAGACATTTGTGTTCATTTCCTCTTTCAGCTATAAAAAACTAACATGATCTGGGTGGCTTAAAACAATAGAACTGCCAGGTGTGGTGGCGCACGCCTTTAATTCCAGCACCCGGGAGGCAGAGGCAGGTGGATCTCTGTGAGTTCAAGACCAGCCTTGTCTACATAGTGAGTTCCAGGACAGCTGGGGCTTCAGGGAGACCCTGTCTCAAAAAGACCAAAAAAAAAAACAATAGAACTGGACTGGGGAGATGGCTCACTTGTTAAAGGGCTGATAAGCATAGAGACCTGAGTTCAGGTCCCCAGCACTTACATAAAAAGCCAAGTGTGGTGACGCATGCTTGTAATCCTAGGGATGGTCAGGTGAGAGGTGGGGAGAGGGAGATCCCTGAAGTTCGCTGGCCAAGCCTACATGGCAACATTTCAGGGCAGTGAGAGACCCTGTCTCCAAAGGTGGAAAGCACCTGAGGAATAGCGCTTAAGACTGTCCTCTGACTTCTGTACGCTTGTGCACACACATGAATACATTTGCCCATGCACACACAGATGGAACACAACAGAAATTTATTCTCTCACAGTTTTAGGGGCCAGAATTTTAAACAAGCAGTTGGCTGGGCCATGCTCTCTCTCCGAAGGCTATCAGGGAGGAGCTTTCCTGCTCCATTTTGGCTATAGCAGTTGTTAGTGTCCTTTGACTTACAGACAACCTCTGTGTTGCTGTTGTTACATAGTCTTCCCTGTGTGTCTGTGACCACATTTTTATCATGTTGGACACCAGTGAGTGAATTAGAACCCACTGTAATCTTGCAAGACTTCATCTTAATGTAATTCCATCTACAAAGATCCTATTTCCAAGACAACATTTATTGGTTCCAGGTAGGTGAGAATTTTGGCACTGTTAACCTAGTATAAGAAGGGAGAAAGGAGGGAGACACTGTTGTAGATTCATAGATGAGGTAGCTAGTGAACCAGAATGAAAAGACACTGGGATAAGGCACTGATAATAGAAAGTTAGGAGTTGGCTCATAACAGAGCATTGGTTAAGCATTTTAACTTTATTTTAAAATATCTATTTTTGGGGGCATGGTGATCTGCAGGTTTTTTAAAAAATATTTTATTTATTATTTTTATTTTAGGTGTATGCATGTATGTGAGTGCATCCGTGTCGTGCAGTGCCACAGAGGTCAGAAGAGAGCTTCAGATTCCCTTGGAACTGGAGTTAAGGACAGTTTGTAGCTGCCATGTGGGTGCTGGGAATTGAACCCAGGTCCTCTGCAAGAGCAGCCAGTGCTCTTAACCACTGAGCCGTCTCTCCAGTCCCAGTTTTAATCCTAGCATTCAGGAGGCAGAAGTAGGTAGCTTTGTGAGATCAAAGCCAGCCTGGTCTACATAGTGAGTTTCAGGCCTACTGGGACTACAGGAAGACTCTGTCTCCAAAAAATAAATAATCTATTTTTTAAATTAAAATTGAGAACTTTTCTTGTAGCTACCCTACAAGTACAAGGGTTTTGTTTTTTGTTTTAGACAGGGTTTTGTTTTGTAGCACCGGCAGGCTTCAACTTGTGGCAGTCCCCTTGCCTCAGCCTCCTGAATACTGGGGTTTACAAGTGTGTGCTGCCACTCTCAGCTGAAGAACCTTTCCAGTAGAGAAACATGTAGGTCAGTAGTAGTTGAAGATTATTGCATAATATGTGATATTTTTCTTAATCATAGTCTATCTTCTTGATTAATAAGATTATCATAAATAGGCCAAATGTGTTGGTTAGTACTTGCCTGTAATCCCAGCACTCAGGAGGCTGAGTCAAGAGGATCATAAGTTTGAGTACATCCTGGACTACCTAACAAGACCCTGTCCAATACAAGAAAATACTATAAATTTATTGTAAGGTGTAGCTATACGTTTATATGGTAGGGATACAGTTTTTGGCAACGGATTCAAATGCTTTTGTCAGTCACATTATGCTAGTACCCTCTGTACATTATATATAGTTCTAGTATCCTGAATATACATTCATAATTCCTGGCCTCCTCTTACAGCTAACTTTTTAAACTCATTAATGAAACAGGGTTTATAGCTGCAGACATTAAAGGCACAGGTTCCTGGACTCAGCTCTATTTGATTACTGATTACCATGAAAATGGATCTCTCTATGACTTCCTGAAATGTGCCACACTAGACACCAGAGCCCTGCTCAGATTGGCTTATTCAGCTGCCTGTGGTCTGTGCCACCTCCATACTGAAATTTATGGTACTCAAGGAAAGCCTGCAATTGCTCATCGAGACCTAAAGAGCAAAAATATCCTCATCAAGAAAAACGGAAGTTGCTGTATTGCTGACCTTGGCCTGGCTGTTAAATTCAATAGGTAAGTGGTTCTTTGCCCATTGTTTTGAAGTTATTTTAGTCTCTAAAAGATATTTGCATTCAGCATCACAGCATATTTATTTGGGTTTTCTTTTTATGAAACGTATTTCACTATATTTTGGAGGGCTGGGTCTTGTATGTGCTAAGCAGGCACTCTTCTACTAAGTCACATCTCTAGCCGGTATATAATTCTTGATTTTCTGCTTTTTATTCATGCAGGCATGTTCCTATTTCAGTTTACATATCCTGATTCTTTCTGAAGCTGCAATTTTTCATAGTACCTGTGTATTACAAGTTACTCTTGTGACCTAAACAATGAGCGCTAAGGTTTTTTCAGTTTGTATGCATTTTAAAAGTTATCATGGTGGGCTAGAGAGACAGCTCCGTGGCTAAGAGCACTGGCTACTCTTGCAGAGGACCCGCGTTCAGTTTCCAACACCCACCTGGCAGCTAACACCTGCCCTTAACTCCAGTTGAGAATCTAACACCCTCTTCTGGTCTTCATGGGCATAAGGCATGCATGTGGCACACTCATATATATGTAGTCAGAACATTCACACATAAAAATAAAATCTTTTTAACATTTTTTAAAAATTTTACTTACTATTCTTATTTTATGTGTATGTATATATTGCCTGCTTGTATGTAAGTGCATCTGTGTTGTGCAGTACCCAGGGAAGAGGAAGAGGATGTCAGATTCCCCTGAAATTGGAGTTACGGATGGTTGTTAGCCACCATGTGGGTGCTGGGGTTCCAACCTGGGTCCTCTGCAAGAACAGCCAATGTTCTTATCTGCTGAACCATCTCTCCAGCCCCTGTAAATAAAATCTTAAAAAATAAATTTAAACATTGTCATGAGCATTATTGTATGCACTTCTTAAGTTCATGAGATCCCATGCCTCTCAGCAACCTAAGAAATCACTTCAGGTTAAGGTAAAAATTTTTCTAAAGCCATACTTTTTAGGTTAAATAGATGATTCTATAGTTGATTGGGCAGTTTAGGTTGGATCATTTTAAAACAGCCACATCAGTGTGTATATCTATATTGTTACATATATGCAATAATTTATTTGTGTAATCCTGAAAGGCAAATATTTATCACTATCAATAGCTCCCCGACCCAGACAAGTAACTGGACAAATCTTGGTTTTAATTATCCAAGCAATACTTAAGTGAGCCATTCCTTTACAGTAAGTTGAGGTCTGTGTATTAAAAGGTTATGACTACTGGAATATTGAAGATAGCTCATGGACATGTTATCATATGGTTAGACATGACATGGTGGTAGTTTAGGACCTGTTGGCATAAATGGGTGAGTGAAATTTTATAATGTAAATTATTGTCCTGCATGCTTTTTCTCTACCCAACTCAGTGTTTACATGTAGGCTCTGTGTTTTCTGTATTAGGGTTAGTAGTTCAGTAGAAGCCTAGAAAATAATTTTGCAGTATCAGAATGTTCTTCAAATTTATATTGTTTATTGTATATAATAATAAACAGTAGTTGATAGTTTTATATTCCTTTTAAAAAATAAATAAAGACCACTGAGATGATTGAGTGGGTAAAGGTGTTTGCTGCCAAGCCTGAGCTAGATCCTTAGAACCTACATGGTGGGAGAAGAGAACCAGCTCCTGCAAATTGTCCTCTGACCTCAACACATATGCCTCCCCCCACACTAAACAACCATGCCATAGCTTGAATGTCCTGCTGTATTGGAATTTCCTTTACCAAACAACTTAGTCCATTGCTTTCAGTTCAGCTTCACTAAAGTTGTTAGGCCATGTGCAGAATGCAACCCTTTTTTTTTTTTTTGGCCAGAATATAAGACAAGGACAAGTCCTTGTTCCCCTCTGAAACCTCGAGTCAGGTTTGCCTGCATTACTCTCAAAATTATGGCCTTCCAAAGTCTTACCAGAATAGCCCATTAAGCTCTGCTTCCATCATTCTTGGGTTTCTCTAGCCTGCATCTCTTAAGTCCTTCCTCCTATAAACCAAGTCCAAAGGCCATATGGTCAGGTTTATCATAACAACCACCCCAATCTCTCTCTCTCTCTCCCTCCCTCTGAGTTGGGGCATGGTGTGTGCTGGTGAGTATGCTGAAGCTGAAGGAGGATCTGAAGTGCCCTGCTCTATCAGTCTCTGCCTTGCTCCTTGGACAGGGTCTTTCACTGAACCTGGAGTTAGATTGCTGGCTAGGGAGCGCCAACAATTCTCCTTTCTCTGCCCTCAATAGCACTGAGGTTACAGGTGGGCACATGGCCACACCCAGCTTTTTATAGGGTGCTGGGGATTCGAACTCAGGTCCTCACTTACAGAAGAAGCGCTCCTACCTACTGAGTTATCTCCCCAACCCCTCAGAACCAATTTTCTTTTTACTGTGACAAAATTTGACAACAGCAGCTTTTAAGGGAGGAAGGGCTATTTGGCATAGTCCAGCATGACAGGGAAAGCACAGGCAGGAGTCTGTGGTGATTGGTCACATTGTTTCTGTAGTTGAGAAACAGGTGAGTGCTAGATGGTACTCACCTTGCTTTCTCCTTTTTCCTTTGTAACTCAGTCTGGGTCTTAGCCCATGGAATGGTACTGCCCTCATTCAGGGTAGGTTATCTTTCCTCAGTTAAACCCTCTCTATACACCTTCAAGGATCTGCCCAGAGGTATGTCTCTTAGTTGCTTCCAAATCCAGCCCAGTTGACAAGGAAGAGTAACTATCATAGATGCTGTATAAGAAAATACAGCACTTTGTATTGGTCTCTGCTTAAGAATAGTTCCCAAATTATGCCAGACCCAGGGGCATAAATAATGAACCATGTCTTCAACCCTAAAATTTAGTCCAAACTTGAAAAACTAATAACTCATTTGTCACTGACTATTTATGTAGACATTATTAACAATTATTAACAACAATTAAGTTGGACCCATGAAGATTAAAATATGTCTTGAAATCTGAGCTTACTGTATGAGCGTGGTAAAAATAAATGATTCCTCTTTTATGTGCTTCTCAGACGTAATTGTTCGTGCTTTTTCTTATATTCAATATTGTCATTTCCATTCTTTTTCTTTCCTTTTTTTTTTTTTTTTTTTTTTTAAAGCCAGAGATGACAAAACTTCTGATCATCCTGCCTCTACCTTCTGAATGCTGAGTGTTAGGAATGTGTCACCACACTGGGTTTGTGATGATGGGGATGGAACCCAGGGCCTTATGTATGCTAGGCAAGCACTCTACCAACTAAGCCACATCCCCAGTCCAGTATTATCTTTGGGAGTTTACTTGGTGACAGATTCTGACTTGAACTGACGTAAGGTATTTTTATTATTCCAGTCTAGTGTGAAAAGTCAGAATTAGTGTTTGCAGGTAACATAGTTCTGAGGTTAAGAGTACTATCCCAGGGCTGGAAAGATGGCTCAGCAGTTAAGAACACCTACTGCTCTTGCAGAAGACCCAGGTTCGTATGCCAGCACCCACATGGCAACTAACAACTGTCCGTAGCTCTAGTCCCAGGGGATCCGACAGCCTCTTCTGTCCTCTGAGGGCATTGCATGACACGGGTGCACTTTACCTACATGCAGACCTAACACTCATACACATAAAATAAAAATAATAAATAAAATATTTTTAAAAAAGAAGAGTACTGTCCCAGACCCTGCTAGGATATTATATAATATGTAAAAGGTATACTGCTTTTTAAAAATCTATGAAGGTGCCAAATTTCCTAATACATTTGGCTCTGGGATGCATGGTAAACAATGTAGGAATTTATGCATTTTAGACAGAGAAACTTTTGTAAAAATCTGTCAGATAAATTGTTCTTGACCCTCAACCTGAGCACTGTCTTCCTTCTGTTTCAGTGACACAAATGAAGTTGATATACCATTAAATACCAGGGTGGGCACCAAACGCTACATGGCCCCAGAAGTACTGGATGAAAGCCTGAATAAAAATCATTTCCAGCCCTACATAATGGCTGATATCTATAGCTTTGGCTTGATCATTTGGGAAATGGCTCGTCGTTGTATCACAGGAGGTAGGAGTTTGAATAGTGTTCTGATTCTGTTTATTTAGCTGTCATTTAAAAAATAAATATGTGTCACATATGTCATGGTTTCCAAGGACTACTTTCAGATCCTGTGGTTTTGCTAGAAGGACTCTTAAGACTCAAGTTGTCTTTACTGCACACATTTATTACAGTGAAAAGATACCTTAAAGTCAACCAAGGGAAAAGGTGCTTAGATCAGCATTCTGAGAAAACCAGGAGAGATGTCCTAAAGTCCTAGAGTCACACAGGACATGTTTAATTCCTCTCTCAGTGAGCTATGACCCTTGTGAAATGTTGTCATCCAGATATTCTCATTAGTCAGCATCCGTTGATTTTTATGAGGCTTGCCTTTTAAGTATCCTCTGCCTGATATGTATCAAAACTCCAGGTTCTCAGAAGGAAAGCAGGTGTTCGGCATAACACTTTGTACAGACCATCAATGAGAGAACAGTGAACTCATCATTTGGAGACAATTCTGTGCAGACAATGGCTCACCATTCAAGTTCCCAGACACCAGGGCAAGGGCTGACCTTGTAGGCTTGCCTTTTTAAGGAGAGCAGTGTTAGGCCTGCTTTGGTAACTCATCCACAGCTCATGATTGTTTTTCTCCTGCAGAATGAAGTAATGAAAACATTCATTAGTAGACACAGTGATGCACGTAGAAATTTACATTAAAAGTTTCAAGTAAATTCTAATTTCTTCTCCTTTCCTTTGTTTCTGTTTTGTTGTTGTTGTTTTAAAGAATCTCACTATGCGTGGTCCAGGCTGGCTTCAAATCACAATCTTCTTGCCTCAGATTCTCAAGTGTGCTTTCTTCAAAAAAGAACCAAAAAAACATTTTATCCTGTCAGAGATAGAGGAAATAATAGACCATAAATCATAGGAAAACATACATTTACTATTAAAAATAGACCATCCAGACTGTATTTCTTCCTTATATAGGAATCTATTTTTTAGTATATAGCTCAGTGAGCAATGCTGTGTAGATGGATAGACCTTGTCCCACCACTATGTTTGTGCTCACTGTGTTTTCTCCTACAGGAATAGTGGAGGAATACCAACTGCCATATTACAACATGGTACCCAGTGACCCATCCTATGAAGACATGCGTGAGGTTGTATGTGTCAAGCGTTTGCGGCCAATTGTGTCTAATCGATGGAACAGTGATGAAGTAAGCTGGATGGAGCTCAGCCTCTTTAAAGTGATTGGTGAATGATGTTGTGTTACTCTGCTCACCGTATTCTTTTTTCGTCTCTCTTTAGTGTCTCCGAGCAGTTTTGAAGCTAATGTCAGAGTGCTGGGCCCATAATCCAGCCTCCAGACTCACAGCATTGAGAATCAAGAAGACACTTGCCAAGATGGTTGAATCCCAAGATGTAAAGATTTGACAGTTGTTAAACAGTCGTGAGGGAGAATCTAGACTGCAAGAACTTCACCCAAGGAACGGGTGGAATTGATGTGGACTGGGATGTTGGCTTGGTTCTCAGACTCTTTCCTCACTACATTTTCACAGGCTGCTAACATTAAACCTTTCAGTACTCTGTAGAATACAAGCTGGGAACTTCTAAACACTTCACTCTTTATATATGGACAGCTTTATTTGAAATGTGTTTTTTGATGCTTTTTTTTAAAATTGGGTTTTTATGAACTACATCAAGACTCCAATCCTGATTAAGAAGTCTCGGGTCAATCTCTGGGCACTTGATTGCTTGTCTATACAGTGATGCTTTCCGTGAAAGCCGTAAGAAGATGAATGAGTTCAGCAGAGGTGGAAAAAGACATATTTTTTGCCTTCTATCAGAGAAAACATCATCGATTTGTGTTCTGCCTTTGTAAACAGCCTATAGATTATGATCTCTTTGGGATACCGCTTAGTTTTTGACAGTACACCATACCTTTGATAACAGTGTGTCTGCACATGCACACCAGAATTCTTCTGCTGCCATAGGAGTTAGAAGAATTTATGATTGCACAGGAACAAATTAGTGGCTGGTGGTGTAAATATGCAATATCTGACCAATATTTGCCAATCTCATAAAAGCCATCTACCTTGTAAGTATAGTAACTTCTCTACCACCTTTTTTTTTTTGTCTTTTTGAGACAGGGTCTCCTTGTAGCCCCAGCTGTCCTGGAACTCACTATGTAGACCAGGCTGGCCTTGAACTCACAAAGGTTCGCCTATCTCTGCCTCCCAAGTGCTGGGATTAAAGGCGTACGCCACCACGCCAGGCTCCAACTTTATTTTTTAACATAAGAGTTGGTAAAGGCCAAAAGCAGTTTAAATTGTCCATAAATTTGGACTGTTTTCCTTCTACTCCATTGTTTTTCTCTTTTTGATAATTATTTTTGTCATGAAAAGCCTCCTGCCCAAAGTTGAAGCTTCAATGCCTTGAACCATGCTTATAAAGAAACACTTCTTTACTGAAGTGAGTTACTACATTTGAGAGCAATGTAAGTGCCTGTAATCATGCTGTTTTCTTTATTCTCAGTAAATTTTTAAAAGGGAAGTTATTTATAAGTGTAATGTGCTTTATTTGTAAAACCTGCCTACATCTTCCCAACCATATTTTATATGTATACATAATTAGTACATATGAACCACTCACATGGACCTCATATCCTATCCTTAAGGGGAAAAATATTTTAAAGTAGAACTATTTATGAATTTTCAGAATTCATGCATTTGGAAACTCCAGTCAGAAATTTCATTAAGCTAATGCCTCATATTCATAAAGGAAGAAAGAATTCTGCAATTAGAAATTTGTATGCCAGAGCCGATAGAAATGTGTTTTGGTATCTAAGTCTTTGGAAATCTTTGATTTTATGATTTCCAGTCCCAGAGCCAGGCAGAAATGTTCAGTATCTAGTTATGGTTCATACCTGCACTGAGTAGCTATTATTCAATGAAATGACCCATTTTTTAGAAGCCTTGTTGTCTCAGAGAACAGTTCTGATTTACTCACTATATTCTGTTATGCTGTTTAAATATTTATTCTGAGCAAAGAGCTCATGAGAAGATCAAGTGACATAATCTCCTTGGATAAAGCATGAAGTAAATTGGTAATATCACAACATAGCCAAAAAGTTAAATGGGAGGAAATCAGAGCATATGTCCATCTATCACCAGAAACACAATTGTCATTTAAGACTAAAACTTAATGTGATGTCTACACATATTTCACAAATTTGAGGCTTGTTTTTAACTGTTTTAATATTTCAGCTAACATAACTAAAGTTTGAGAATCTTGAGATTTTGATGTTTTTGACTAGATAAATTGTAAATCCTGAAAATCACCTGTCATCTTAATAAAATATGTAAAGAAAGGCAAACTTCATTCATAGAAATGTTAAAAATAGTGTGTTGAGGCAAAAAGTCACAGATATTATATGAGGCCTTTGTAATGATTTTTTTTCTAATTAGCTTGGTCTTATAAAAGAGCTATCAATAATTAATGGTAAGACAGGCAGAAAGTACTCTAGTTACCTAGTCACTGTCTAGCCCACTGCTCCCTTTCAGTAGACTCAGTAAAAAACATTCTTTAAAATCCTAAAATCTGAAGTTGTATTAAGCTTTTTTTTTTTTTTTTTTTTCCCTTTTCTCACTCATTCTTAAATTTGAAATTCATCCAGTAAGTGAACTATTTGAAGAATACCTCAGACCTTCGGGTCAGTAAAATGATAAAGGCACTTTCCTCCAAGACTTCAGCCTGAGTTTAATCTCTGGGACCAACCTGGTAGAAGGAAAGAACTAGCTTCCACAAGTTGCCCAACCTCCACACAAGCACCATGGCACAGGCACACAAACACAACACAAAAGTAAACTTAGTTTATTTAAAAAAAAAAAAAAGAATGTGTCAGACCAATGAAAGGAAGTATTATGTAGTTTCTTAGTTGATACCTTGTAAAAACTTTGAAGCCATGGTTTGGTCCCACTTAAGTCAGCCATCCTTTTAAATAATTAAAATATAGAAGCCAAAACCCAGACTACCTAAATAGATATAGCAAAAGTAACCCACAAAGAAAATTCTTATGAATTGCATTTGTTCTGGTGGGTAATTTTTTAGGATTAAAGGCATCTTAAGATTTGCTTCATTTTGATTATTCTGAACCATTATTGTGGTTTCTTAGTAAGTTTCTAAGTATAAAATCTATACCTTGACTTCTGGAAATGCTTTTACAAAATATATTTTAGTCAACATTTTATGTTACTTTTCCAGTCTCCAGAAATGTTTCTAAGCTTAGAAAGTGACCTTTTGCTTTTGTAAACTGTTGTCCTAGAATGTGCCAGTTTTTATTTATTTACTCTAGCAATATTCAATATCTTTTTTCTTTATTGGATGCTTTTCTTGCTTAGAATAAAAATACATTAATTTCTAAAGAATAAGGCATCTTTGAGTTGTCCCAAAGTCAAATTGGATATTGAGTAATTTATTCCAGGGTAGATTTATGAGTTAAAGTACATGTCTTTCATATAGATATTGTTTTGAAATGTTTTCAAATGTCAGAAATATAACTCAATATTTTAAAAGAAAGGTTGTATAGCCCTTTCATAATATTAATTGACTTGAGTCAGATGATGATGTGACAGTATAAGTTTGTCTTACGTCTTTGCTGTGAGCCACAGTGGAAACCATGGCGAGAACCTGTTGAGTCGAGGACAGTAGCATGTGCCTCCACATGGAAGGGTCATCCCATAAGGAAAGCTTACGCATACGGCTTTTGCAAAGGATTAGACCTATTACTATAATTTTAGGTTGTACTCTGTACTCTGCTTTCAGTGGAATTATTTAAGCTCTTCAGTGACCTTTGTTCTTCCCACTAAAAAACTGAAATGTAGTATATATTGTATAAAATGGAAATATTATAGCTTATTTAGGAAAACTGTACATAGGCATTGATAAAAGGGTAAAAGCAAGCATTTTTATTATGCAGTTGTAAAACACCAAAAATACAGATTCATCTTTGATATGTAACACACTATTTTGTACAGCATCTGGTTTAAAAGGTGCCTTATTAAGTTTACCATTAATTGCTTTGTTCTATATACAAATTATGTCCAATGTATCATTTTTCAGTAAATAACCTTATTTTAGTATACTTCAGTGATGTGTTTTGTGATGTTGTTCTTGGACTGTATTGTGTATCAGAAGCCATCTGTTGAGATTTTACGATAAATCGTGTATATACATACGTTCCTGAGCGTGCATTTCAGCTTTGGAACACCCAGCATGGAGCATGGCTAGGTAAGTGATCACACATTTTTGTCTTTGTGTGAAGAAATGATACAAACCTATAGTAAAGAGCTTTTTCTTTTTATATTAAAAAAGCATTGTTTTCTGAATATAAAAATATGTATGACAGAAGTTTTAGGAGACGGGAAAAAAATTAAGCAAATAAAAAACACTCACCTTTATCGCCAGGCATCACCACTATTTACGTTTGAATGTTTTTCTCTTTTCTGCTGCATTTTCCTTTACAGTATTAATGCCATTACATGCTTTTAAAAACACCCTCTATTTCTCCATTCCTTTCCACTCCTACCAAAGCTGCCCCTAAATTCAGCTCAAGCAGCCCTCAGCCTCCCAACTGTCTGCATCTCTAGATAGATACCATAGTACTCACCTCTGAAATACTACTTTTTGAAATAGCTGTGCAATCACATACAGAGAATAATAAATTACTCCTACTATCTTGTATTCATTATTTCAGTTACTTTCGTTGTTGGGGGTTTAGTTTTGGATTTTGTTGTTTTTTGGTGGGGGGTAGTGGGTCTTGCTATGTAGCCCAGGCTGGCCTCAAGCTCTGCATGCACTCTAGCACTCTACCACTGAGCTGTATCTTCAGCCTCTTTATGATTTTGGAAAATATAGTATGCATTGAGATCATTGTACATAAATTTTTATTTCCTTTTTTATATACATATACAGATAAGAACTTTTAAATTTTATTCACAATAAAGGAAACTTAAGGTTCTTGATAAAAATTGTCATGCTGCTGCTCAGAGGTTTTCATCTGCACTCCCACAAGGACTTGTGAGCACTCATCCTACTTCTGGGCTGGGACATTTCTTCAAGGCTTTTCCTTTTTTAAAAAAATTTTTTTTTCAATTTTTATGTGTATGAGTGTATTGCCTGCATGTATGTAAGTACATCCATGTCATACATTGCCCTTGGAGGTCAGAAGAGGGCATTGGATCCCTGTAACTGGAGTTACGAACAGTTCTTAGTCACAAGCGCTGAGTCATCCCTTCAGTCACAAGGCTTTTCCTCTTGATAAGGGACCTTTATGTGTCCTTAACAGTGTTCCTGCTACACTGTAAAGGAAATTCTTGGATTTCTTTGCCCACGCAACATCTTTATTTTCTCACCTGCATTGAGGCTCACTACCTGCCAAGTGCTGTTTCCAATTTGTATGTAAACTCCCATTTACACCTTTGTCACATTAGGGACCCAGACCTGTTTTCATCTTAGAAGAGTCGGCACTGGTTGGGTCCCTCAAAATCATGTTTGGAGACAGCCCGTTGCACTCTCCTTGCAGCAGCTCTAGTTTATGTTACTATAAGACCGTGTTACTCTTTTTGTTGCTGTGACAAAATATTTACTAGTAGCAGCTTAAGGGAGGAGAGTTTTCATTTTGGCTCAGTTTCAGGGTTATCAGTCCATTGTGGCTGCCTCTTTTTTTTTTAATATATTATTTTAATTTTATGTATATGAGTGTATTGCCTGCATGGATGTGAGTGCGCCCCTGTCATGCAGTGCTGTGGAGGTCAGAAGAGGGCGTCAGATTCCCCTGGAACTGGAGTTAAGGATGGTTCATAGTTACTATGTAGGTGATGGGAACCAAACCCGGATCCTCTGAAAGAGCAGTCAGTGCTTTTAACCTCTGCACCACCTCTCCAGCCCCTGGCTGCCTCTTTTTCACATGATGCTGGATCACCAAGCAAAAAGCTGAGGCCAAGCCAGAAGCCTATAGCAATTTCAAGGCCTGGCTCCAGCCACTGCAGTTAGCCAGGTCATAGTCCCAAAATTTCTTAGCCTCTCAAAATCAGCTGGGAGATAACCTCAGTTCTTAAGTGCTTGCTTCACAAACCTGAGGACATGTGTTCAATCACTAGAACCTGTGTAAAAATTCAAGTCTTACCCCCAGTGTGTGGGGGTAAGGTAGAGATGGGCAGCCCCCTAACTAGCTGGCCTAGCCTACTTGATGAGCCACAGGCTGAGAGACTCAAAAGGAGGGTATGCAGCTGACCTTTGGCCTCCACATACATGTACCCAGGCACATACAAGCACCCACACAAATGTCCATACATACACAAGAAAACTAGCACCTCTACCTATGAACTAGGTGATCATGCACATGTTTTTTGTTTTGTGGCTTGATGGTGGGTTCTGAAGTATGAACTTTGTAGAGGATGTTATGCCACTATCTCAAAAAGTCAGACACAATCCAAGGTGATTCCAGGGCCCCGAGGGCACCTGCACCTGCCCACTGCCCTTACCCTAATGCTTATGCAGGGGCCTGAATCCACAGCATCATGGGACATCACCATGGAATGCTTATATTGAAAACATTTCCAGTTAGAAGAATAAATGTGCCAGGTGTTTTTCCTTTTGTGGGTTTTTTGTTTGTTTTTATGTGTATATGGTTGTTTTTTTAAGGGAGAAACCACTTTCTGTTGTTGCTGTTAAAGATGAGGTCTTGTCAGGCATGGTGGTGCATGCCCTTTAATCTCAGCACTTGGAAGTAGAGGCAGGCAGATCTGTATGAGTTGGAGGCCAGCCTAGTCTACATACAGTTCAGGGCAGCCAGGGCTACAGAGGTGAGACCCTATCTTTAATAAAAATAAAAAAAGACGTGAGACATTATATAATTTAACTTTGTCATTTAATTATTTTTCATTCGAGAATTTTTTTCCTTGATATTTTAGAGTTTAAGCTTGCCGTATCTGAATACATTTGATCTCTTGAGACTGTTTTTTGGCACCTTGAACTCGAGAATTTTCTCCCATTATTTGTTTCCTTCCTCTTTTCACTTTTGTCTTTCTAGAACTCCTATTTGATTATTTCACTTTACTTTTTTTTTGGTCTTTTTGAAACAGGGTCTTCCTGTAGCCCCAGCTGACCTAGAACTCACTATGTAGACCAGGCTGGCCTTGAACTCACAGATCCTCCTGCCTCTGCCTCCCGAGTGCTGGGATTAAAGGCGTGCACCCCCAGGCCCAAGGCCACTTTACTTTTTTGAGGTGGGGTCTCTGTTTCATCCAATCTGACCTCAGACTCAGCCTTAAATGGTCCTCCTGCCTCAGCTTCCAAGTATCTGGGATGGCTGCATGCCACCAGGCCCAGCTGGAATTATCAGATAGATACTGTGTCTTCTGGATGTTTCTTCCATATATCTTAGTCTGTTTTTCATGTGCTCCAGCCTACCCTCTGCTTTTCATCCCATCTACTGATTTGTTTTTCAATTACTACATTATTTTGAAATAATTCCCATCTGTAGAAAGTTACAAAGCTACTGTAAAGAGTGCAATTTACCTTCACCCAGTTTCACTAAATTTTAACATTTTGTCACAGTTGCTGTGTGTTTGTGTGTGTATACAGTAATCACAAAGGTTTGTCTTAACATGTGTAGTGCTTTTCTAAACTATTTGGATTAAGTTAGAGATCCCAGGACCCTAAATACTTCAGTAATATTTTATTACTTAACCAATTATACACAGTGATCAAAACCAGGAAAGTAGGCATTGACACCATCACAGTGGTCAACAATACCATGCCTATAGGCTTCCTTCAAATGTTGCTAATTTTAACAAAATCCTGATGAGTGCATTTTCCTGGTGCATAATCAGCCTGGGATTGGGCCCTGTGTTTAGTTAATAGGTCTCTGGTACTTCTTGAAGATGGAACAGTTGTTTTGTGGTACTTTTTTTTTTTTTTTTTTTTTTGAAGGAGGTGCACAGGGTTTTGCTATATGACTTCATACGCTCTGTGTCCTTGAATTTAGCAGTTCTGCCTTGGCCTCCTGAATATCCATATGTGCCACCACATCCAGAGTCATGGGCAGTGCATCCCACCGAGTGGGAGTCAGTTAAGGCCAGTGCCAGTCAGCTGTTAAGGATGCTAGCTCATTTCTGTGTTGGGCGCAGTTTGGATTACATAGTAGTATCAGTGGTTGTGAAATGATTTTCTAATGCCATTGTACCATCTGCAGTTTTCATTGGCAATCTGGAATGAGGAAAGAGTTTTTCCCTTATAATTTATCATTCGTATGGACTCTTAAGTTTTTATTTAATGGGTTTTATTCTGTTAGGCCCTTATTGATTTTTAATGCTTAAATTGGCCCACACTTAACTACAAGAATCTCTTTGAACTAACTCGTAAAGCCTTTTGACACATGCGCATCACTTTATTTTATTTTGGGAAGTTCCAGGTACCCAGTATGGAGTCAGCCATTTATTTCTCCAAGACACTCTGGTTTTGTCTAGGCGGGATGGGGCTTATAACTATTGGCAGTGATCTTGATTTAAGTTTCTATTTTGCTAGGGCTGGAGATCTACCCCAGTAGTGGTAGAACACTTACCTACCATATGTTAGACTTTGAGTTTGATACTTGGCACCACAAAAATTTTTTTTCAAAAAGATTCAACTTCTTCTGTTATTTCTAGAGACAAATACATTCCCAAATCTTCAGCTCACAGAGTTGGGGATCTTGTTCATAACCATAGTTTTCCACAAATGTTTGGTGATAAGTGTAGCTGCTCATCTTTGGATTAGTGAATCCCTGTTTACCTCCCTCAGTGTGTCTCACCTTCTCATTTGGGGGCAGGTAACGAGACAGTACCTGTGTATTAGTTACTAAGTTGCTCTGATGAAACAGTGATTGAGGCAACTTACAGAAAGAAGAGTTTATTTGGGCTGTGGTTCCAGGGTGATGAGTCCATCATGGTGGGGAGGCATGGTAGGTGGCAGCTGGAGCAGAAAGCTGAGAGCTCACGGTCTTCAAAGGCAAAATCAGGAAGCAGAGAGCAAGCTGGGTGGGGCAAGGCTATGAACTCTCAAAGCCAGCCCCCAGTGCTTCCTACCTAGGCTACACCTCCTAAAGGTTCTCTGCCCCTCCCCCAAACAGTGCCACCCAACTGACCAAGTGTTCAAGTACTTGAGCCTATATAGGGGACACTTCTCATTCAGACCACCACACTGTTAGAACAAAAATCAAGAGCAAGCCTTTTCTTGACTGCTCCAGAGAATTCTGACTTCTTCAGCACCGTTTTTTCATCTCCTTCCAGAGCGTTCTGTCCCTGACCAGGTTTAAGTGGGACCTTTCCTGATGGAGGATGAAAGCTGTGTTCAGGCTAAAGCATTTGTATTTTTGCCCTAAAGGAGAGGAGCTGCTGTATGTGAGCCAAGAGGACGGCTTTAAAACTTGTCCCTCCCCCTTGGATCCCAGGGACTCATGCATGTTAGCCAAGGGTTCTCCCACTGAGCCACACCCATCCTAACAAACGAGTTTTGTTTTTTACTTTTGAGAAAAGGTCTCCCTGTAGCCCCAGCTGGCCTGGAACTCACTATATAGACCAGGCTGGCCTTGGTCTCACAGAGATCTGCCTTCCAAGTGCTGAGACTAAAGGTGTGCACCACCACACCTAGCAACAGTCATTTCTTCAGGCTGTCTCATCCTTGAAGTTGTTTCTGCAGCACAGGTAAAGGACATCAATTATCTAGTCATGGTGTGGTGGTGTGTGGAGACATCCCTGGATTGACCCCTGTAAGGTCGCCCTTTGTAGCCTGGCGTTTAGCTCGATGCCTCCAGAGGGTCAGCAGCTGCTCTGTATTAGGTACAAGACTAGCTGCATGGTTCTTGTTTTGCCCCACAACTCCAAGTGATTTTGTGTTGTTTTGAGTTTGGGGCTTTGCTAAACTCAACAACTATCTCCAGCAATCCCAATATTTGAGGTTAGGTTTTCATATTGCTCTTTCATTTTATACTCAATCTAATTCATTTACTTCCTGTCTTTTCTAAGAATTACTAAGATACTTGACATGACTATGGTGCCCTTTGATAATTTTTTAGGGGCCACAAGTTTTTTTTTAAACTGGCTTAGGTCAGTCACGTGTACTTGGACAGGAGGACACTGGGAAAATTTTCACTTATAGCTGACAGGTACCTTATCAGTCAGATAAAAATCCATCAGAAAAACTTGGGAATTCTTACTGATCTGGGGCTGGGGAGATGACTTAGTTGGTGTATGCTGTGCAAGGAGAAGGTCCTGAGTTGACTTTCCAGCACCCACATAAAAAGCTGGGTACAGCATGGATCTGTAATCCAGCACTGGGGGATTGGAATGCAGAAAAAGGCAGATTCTCAAGCTTATTGGCCAGTAGTCTTGCTAAATAATAAATTTTAAGTTCAGTGAGAGACACTGTCACAAAAATAAGGTGGAAGATAGCCAACATCGACCTCTGGCCTTCATGTACACCCACCTACATGTGTGTACACACCCACATGACCACACAAAACAGGTGTATGTGCATATGCACACACAATTCTTACCCATCTCAGATCCTAACCATAGAACTGTCTAAGCAGAAAATGTGTGCTTGAACTTGATAGTACAGCTTTGCAAAATGTAATCAGATATAGTCGGGGGTGGTGGCACATGCCTTTAATCCCAGTACTTGGGAGGCAGAGGCTCTCTGTGAGTTCAAGGCCAGCCTGGTCTACATAGTGAGTTCCAGCTGGGGCTACAGTGAGATCCTGTCTCAAAAAGACAAAAGAAAAAAAGAAAAGTAATATGTTACTACATAAAAGCAGTCTCGCTAAAAGAACCATTATTTCCTATTCTCACCCTATAAACTTCTACAGTGCAGTGTACAATGCTGTCAGAAACGCTGACCAGCTAGTGCTTTATTTACCACCTTCTTATTGAGGAGCACCAATCCTGTGAAGTTGGTGGACACATACCTTTTATAGAGGAAACTGATTTACACTGTGTATTATGTGCCAGAAATTCCAAATGATAGTCTGTAGGGCTAAGACTGTATTACCATAACATCACAGCTCAGTCTTCAGAAGGAAGGGGCCAGGAACAGTAAGATGGAGCACAAGAAGATAAGAGTCTACTAGCACTAAGGGACCTGCCACAGGGCTCCCCAGTCTTTGCTCTGGGGTGGCCCAGCTATACAGGTCCTCATTCAGTAATGGTCTGGGCTACTGAGAACTGCACTGAGGTGAGTTTCAAGGTTATGTCAAGATCATGAAGCACCAGAGTGCTGGGTAGGAGCTGTCTAATTGGTCATCTCACACTACAGGTGAATAAAGCTTAGGATTGTTGTTACCCATGGTCAAACCAATGACAGAATGGCCTGGACCTATGGTTCATCTTACACCGGTATTTTGGCACACTGAATACACAAAGCATAATGGCAAATAGGGGCCAATTATTTGAATTAATGACCCTCCAGCAACCAATGAGAAGTGCTGGAAGTGTTTCACAACCACCAACTCATGAAGTCAAATCCAGTTAAGTTACGGAGAAGAGCACATTCAACCAACGTTAAACACTACTGAGTCTTTATTTTCTAGTGGTTGAGTGGCTACTTTCTTAAGCCTGTTTGTTCTAGAATCTGGAGATGTTTGTAAACCACATGTAGACGTTTCAGGAATAATTGCCTAATTGTGGAGCCCTCTGGATAGTCCATGTAGAATTCACTGAAATAGTGATTAAAGTCAAAGCTGGCCTGGAATAATGAGAGTCACTTTTAATCCAGATAGTTTTTGTCCCCTTTTTCCAAAGGGCTTTGCAAAATGTAAACGAGGCAGAGAATCGGAAGTCATCACTTTATTCCAAAGTTGATCATTATCAGAAGATACTATACAGTTGGACTCCCTCCTCCCTCAAATCCTGGTTAGGGAAGCTCAGGAGACTGGACAGTCATGACAGTGAAAGAAGTAAAAAGGTGAAGATCACACCTCATCTGTGTCTGACATCTGTTGGCCTCTACACTGAGTATAGCAAGGAGCAAAAGGTGTGAAATTACAATTAAATATACAGACATTAAATATACAAGGGACAATTAAAACTTAAAAAGATGATTTCTCAGCTGGGCGTAGTGGCGCAAGCCTTTAGTCCCAGCACTTGAGAGGCAGAGGCAGGCGGACCTCTGAATTCTAGGCCAGCCTGGTCTATAGTGAGTTCCAGGACAGCTGGGGCTCCAGGAGACCCTGTCTCAAAAAGACCAAAAAAAAAAAAAAAAGAAAAAAAAAAGAAAAAGATGATTTCTCTCTCCACCCCCATGTTTTTGAGACAGATTTTTCAAGTATCCCAGGCTAACCTCAAACTTTTGAAGCTGAGGATGACCTTGAACTACTGCTCCTCCTGCCTCTACCTCCCAAAGTGCTGGGATTACAGGTATGCACCACCATGCCTAGTTGAAGCAGTACTGAGGACTGAACCCAGGGCTTTGTGCATCTTAGGCAGGCTTACATCTCCAGCTCCAAAGATACTAACTTAATTTCCCTTGATCAATTCAACCAGGTCTTAGCTCCCTTCCTGAGACTGGAAAGGCTGGCTTTATCCAGTTTTCCTGTAGCATTTGGAGATTGGTTTCCGAATTTTTTTTTGGGGGGGGATGCCACCTCTTCCCTCTCCCCCCTTCAACTTTAAAACATTTTTGAGGTACTGGGGATAAAACCCGAGGGACTTGTACATGCCAGGTAAGCGTTCTCCGACTGAGCTATACCTGGCCCATCACCTCCACTGTAAACATTTGTTCCGGAAAACAATCACTTTCCAACACAGGGAAAAGAAGAAACAAGAAAAGCTGAACATTGTACAGAAGTTTCCAACCACAGGAGGAGTGAAAAAAAAAAAGAAAAAAAAAGCTGTAGAATTCAGGGAGCAAAGGGCCAAGACAAACTGCAAACCATGCCACTGGAGAGGGCGTGAAGAACCCAGTTCCCATTTCCAGGTGCCCACCCAGTCCAGAAAGCAGCATTCCAGCACTCCCCAACCCATGTATCCAGAGGAAGGCGCATGGTCTTTGCAGAAGGTTTCCAGGGAAGAGCTAGGCCAACTGGGTGTTCTCCAGACCATCGCTGGCCAGAGCTTCAATCTAGGCAAGTCTGCTGTCTGATGCAAGCTGAGCCTAGGGTTCAAGTCTTGAACATCAAGAAGCCCCCGAATGTGGTGCCTGGTGGGCTTCTCTTTGTTACTGACCCCTGAGTTAACTCAAACCACACTCTCTCACCCTTCTGCAGCTCAGCCATAGCAAAGGTAGTGGCTGTGCTTCTGCCCCTCTGTTCGGAGCTATAAACTGGAACCTGGTGATGACCTCCAAATACCAACTGGCCTGTGCCTGGGCCAGGGCCAAATGTCACAGTCACTGCAAACAGGTAGACACCACGTTCGGGGGCTCGAAAGTAGCCATGCTCAGGAAAGTAGCTGCCACCAACATTGATGGATGTAGTGTTGAACTTTACCATCTGCAGGGAAGCCGTCTCTTCTGAAAAAGTGGCATAGAATGCCACAGGAGCACCTGAAATGGGGAGGATGCTCAATGAGTTAGCTGTTCACTCTTAAATACAGACCTGCCTTCTCACCTTCACTGCATTAGAAAGGGCATTATTTCTAGATGCCCTTAATATCCTCAATACTGGAGATAGACTCAATGTGACTTCAAAGAGTGGGAGAGAAGGGGAATACAGATCTGCTGTCTGGTTTGTGTACACTTCAACAAAGCACTTTGATCTCTTTTCTTTCAATTCTATGGAGAGATAAGTGTCTGTGGCTGCCCAAAGCCCCTGGCTTGGCAGGCTAGGGCAGAAACCTGATTACAAGTTCCAGAAGTCTTCTCCCTGCTAGGAATCCCTCCCTCCCTTCCTCCTTCTCTTCCTCTCTCTTTACAGTGCTAGGGATGGAATCCAGGGCCTCATACATGCTAGTCAGGTGCTCTGAATTACACTTCCAGCTTATATGTGCTAGGAACCTTGAGACACCCAGGGATAAGAGAAAGAATATCACATACATCTTCAAAGCAATAATATTAACACGGAGATACCTAAAGAGCAGCAAAGGTGGTTCTTACAGGATGTGGGCACAGGATCTAAAGGAAGCAAAGAAAAGCCCCCTCCAAGGCAGGTATGGGGACTCACACCTGTAATTTCAGCACTCCGGAGCCAGAGACAGTAGGTTCCTGAGTCTGAATTTAGCCTAGGCTACACAGTGACACCTTGTCACGCATTCAGGAGGGCTGAGAGGGCCGATTAGGCCAGAAGATGGAATAGGAAGTGTATCTTACTGGAGTCCACAACATTAGCACGATGCCCTTGTGAGTTCTTTCAACACTTCATGTATGCGTGTGTGTATGTGTGTGTGTGTGCGCGCGCACATGTATGTGTGTATGCTTGTGTGTGCGCGCACACACACATGTTCCCCATTTCTCAGGGAATGGAACCAAGGCCTCGAGGAGGAACAGACTACAAAAAAGCACTTAGTGACTTAAATCTCAGACTGCAGTCCAGCTCTTTGGCTACAAACCCAGAAATAGCCTTAGGATAACAGTTTCATTTTCTCTGGATCTGGAAATTTTTCTGAGAATTGGTCCTGAGTAGCTTTCCTGTTTGTGCCAAGGCAAAAAACGAGGGCTGGTGCTGCAGTTCCGTCACTACCCAGCAGGTGGGGCTTCTACCCTGCGGAAACGAGGACGTCCTACTGCGCCCTCTGCTGGTGACTCGTCCTCCCTACACACTGCCTGCATCTGGGAATCCACCTTAGAGGACTGGGCTAAGTGCCTATGGACTTCAAAAGACAGAAGAGTTGTGCAAACTGAGGATGTGGTTTTCTGAAGGATACAAATTCAAACCTTATAGTCTTCTTACAAGAGTTTTCTGTGGAGAAAATATTTTCTGAAATAAAACACTGCAGTGATAAACAGATACCTAAACCTTAGCAGACAAATTGTGAAAGTCGACAGCATGTTGAGGCTTTGCACCACTCAGGAGAGGGGAAAAATGGAGTGGATAATGTAAGTGAATGCAGCCTCAGCTCTAGAAGTGCTCGGGAAATAAAACTGCCTGGGTTCCCACATGTTAAGCCTGTGCTAGGGTGAGTGAAGCTGTCAGTCGTCATAGCAACACTTCTGTGCAGGTAGTGGTGGCCCCTTTGACAGAGGACAAGTGATGGGAAAGCATGAGCTCTTTCCTCTGCCTCCTCTGCCATAATGGAGGGTGAGCAGGGGCAAGGCCACATGCCAGGCTGCATAGAGTATAAGTCTGCCATAGCCCCATGTCTGGACGAGGAAGGAGTCCCAGCTTCAAGGCCTGCCTTCCTGACAGAATCACTGGGAGCACAGAGCCACAGCTTGGGGAAGGACTGGGAAAGTTGGCTGCACATCCCTTCACCCTCAGAGCTGACTTCTGGGCTTGTGGCCTGGGCCATTGCAGGGACCAGTCTTTGATGGTCTTGCCATAGCACTGAGAGCCAGCTTCTCTATGCCACGCACTAGAGTTTTGGGTAAGATGGTAATAATGGATCCACAGCTGAGCAGCTAAGTCATCACGATAAAGCCCAAGAAGGGCACTGCAGGGGACCTGGTGCAGAGTGGCAAGACAGGCCAAGTGGATTTACAGAGAGAGAGAGAGAGAGAGAGAGAGAGAGAGAGAGAGAGAGAGGAGAGTTCCTTCAGAGCTCAAGGCCTTTCTGGTGTTAATCTCTTGTGGGGTTACTGCTGTGATATGTGACCCCTGTTCCAATCCCACCCTCTCTAGAGTGCAGGGGTGAGCTGATGAAAGATGCTGAGGACTGGGTTGGGGTGAAGAGCCGAGATGGAGGGCATCCCCTCTTGCACAATGACAGCCATAGGCAGCCTGTGCTGTGTATAGGAGCCTCCAGTGCAGAGGTGACTCCGCAGCTCAGTATGGCACTACAGTTGATTCTTAGGACTTTTACCTCCCTATATACAAGGCAGCTTAAGAGGCTCATAGCCCTGAAAAGAAGAAGGTGGCCCTGAGTAGTGGTGACAGATGAGCATCCTTCCTGAGCCATCCAGGCCCAGGCACTCACCTGCCTCCCAGAGCCCTGTGCCCAGAACACCTTGTTCCAGTCCTTTGATGTGTGCATCAGCAAAAGTCACCACTTGCTTCTTGTCCCTCTTTTGGCGAGCTTCTAGGCCTTTCTGCTTCTTCTCTTTCCTACTCAGCATGGCCTGCAGCTTCCCCAGGTCTAAGCTGATGTTGGCTGCCATTAGCCCTTGGAAGTTCTGGAAGAGACTGTGGAAGAGCCTCTGGTGCTGCTCCAAGCTGTGCTGAGTGTCAGAGAGCATTCCGTGGAGATACTCAAGGGAGCCATTGAAGGAGGCAGCCCCAGAGGCCTCACAACACCACCCAACCTGTTTAATGTCAGAGGTCAGGCGCTGGAGCTCCTGCTCCAGCCGGTCCAAGGCCGTGGCTCCCACGTCCTCCCCAGTGGAGTCGTGGCTGGGCTTTGCCAACCGTGGGGGTTCCACAAGGCCACCAGAGGCCTGCTCCAAGGCCTCCACTCTAGTGGCCAGCTCATTCCAGCCAAGCGCCTGTTCCTGCAGCCCGCTGGCGGCGTCCTGCAAGGCAAGTCGGATCTGCTCATAGCGCAGGGGCAGCGGGCGGGGCGTCTCCTCAGACATCTCCTCCATCACCTCCTCCCCAAAGAGCGCAACCAGCACCGCATCATGCCGCAGCGCATCCTCCAGCAGGGCGGCGAAATTGTTGTGCAGCTGGCCCATCTCCCCATGGGTCCGGTTCGCCGTGGTCTTCAGCGCTCCCACCGCGTGGTCCAGCGCCCGCATCTGGCTCCGCAGCTGGGCCCTCTCAGCCCGTGCCCGCTCACCTTCTCCTTTTTGCACGTCCACCGCTGAGGACAAGGCATCCACAGTGCCTTGCAAGACCTGCAAAGAGGAGCCGTCCAGCTGGCGTCGTTCGTCCAGGCTCACCTGTGTCTCTTCCAGGGCGCGCGTGGCATCCTTTTGGCCCTCCCGGATCACATCCAGGTCAAAGTAAAGCTTCTGGCAGTTGCAGTCTTTGACATATTTGATGAGGTCCGCGTGACCCGCCTGCAGATGCTGCAGAGTGAGGTTGAGCTCCAAGAGCTGCTGCTCCATCTCCTCCTTGTTCTCCTCCATGATCAGGGACTTCTCCATCAGGACCACCCGCAGCTCCCGCAGTGCTGTGTGGTTCACCTGCAGCTCCTCCACCAGCCGCTCCACCTTACTGATCTGATCGAACGTCTCGTCAGATTCGGAGTACAGCTCCTTGATCTCATCCCCGTGCTGTTTGAGGACCTGGTTCATGTTCTTGAGAGTGTTCTGCAACTCGTCCTCTCTCTGGTTGGTGATGGTGTGCAGCGCCGAGACGTTTCTCTGCAGCTGGCCCAGTCTGGCCTGCAGGCTCTCGGGCTCCGGCCTTGCTGCTGCAGCTACAGGTGCCACCACCAGGCTGCCATTGGCCCCGGGGAGTTCCTGAGCCTTGAGCAACCGCTTTAACTTGGTGTCCACCTCAGCCTGGACCTCAGAGAGGGCATGGTGCAAGGCACGGTGCTGGGCATGTAGCTGGCCCTCCACATCCTGCCGCAGTTGGCCCACTCTCTGGCCATTCTCCAGGATCTTGGCCTCAAATTTGGCACTAAGTTCTTGGAAGTCAGCTGTGGCCACTGAGCCCTCCTGGATCATCTTGATGGCCTGGTGGTTGGCCTCCACATCAAGAGACAGGTTTCTGAGAGCCTCTGAGAGGCTGTGTAGGCTGTCATTGAAGGTCTTCCAGATGGTGCTGAAGTATGCTTGTAAGAACATGTCCATGTGGGGTGGCAGCAGGTGCCCAGAGGTCCTGCTAGAAAACTCTACAACAGACACTCATGTTTCACACAAGCCTGCAGTAGCAGACACCCCTCCCCAGGCTGGGATAGTAGGACCTCAGGTCTGAGCCTTCTTAGGAGCTCCTACTTACCAACTTCCGTTTGATTGGCCCCTGTCATCTCAGCTGTGAGGTTACTGGCCAGGGCCTCCCAGGGGCCTGGGAGCCCATCTTCTGCCTGGTCAACATCATTCTGGGGAATTCCCAGCAGGTGTTCTTGATGTCCCTGTGGCACCTCAATCTCTTTGAATTCTGTAGCAGGTTGGCCTGAATACATACCAGATAGAGGTGTTAAAGGTCAACTTGCCAGGCCTGGGTAGATAATAAGGTCCAGAGAAGATTTGGGGCCCAAAGCAAGAAAGATGCCTGCTGCCCCTCTTCTCTTGAGTTGGAGCTTAGAAGCAACTGGCTTCAGGAGGCAAAGCCAGACATCTGAACCATCACCTTGCCTCCCATACTCATAGCAGACATGACTAATCAAACATGGCTCATTGTTTTCCTCAGTCACAATTTCATTCCTGGAAGCCCTTATCCAGAGGTAGTTCGTCACATATCGCTCCCTAATACACCCTTAAAAGACTCACAAATGACAACTCCTATGTTATGTTGGCTCTCTTCTTACTTCCTGGTCCTTGTGTATGTGAGTGAGTATGTGGATGTGGATGGGGTGGGGGTAGTGTGTGAAACAGTGGGACAGCTTCTTCTAGGCCTGGGAGTTGTGTGGGTCAAGGGCAAGAAATGTACCAGTGAATCCAGACTTCCCAGAAAAATGGGGTCAAGGAAAAGGGGCATGAATCAGCCCTAGGCAGTGAGCTAAAAGCCCTGGGAACCTGGTCCCCTAGAGAGCAGGGTGCAGGGCTGCAAGTAAGCCCCTACTGATTCTAGGGGCAAAGTGTTCCTGGGTGGTAGTGCCTATCAGAGGAGGATGGACTGGCCACATGAGCCTTTCCATGAAAGCAACACACCAAATTCAAAGCCAACCATCTGGTCCCAAGTCTCCTGGAGGCCACCACTTGGCTCTGTAGGCTCAGACCTTGCTATAGGATCTGCAGAAGAAAAAATGAAGTGTTAAGCCTAGAAGTCAGAGGGATGGCATGACTTCTAGAATCAGAGGTGAAGGGGGAAAGGGATGTGGGGACTCCTACCATGGTGCTGGCAGTCTGGGCCTTTGAAGCCTGGGCAGCACCTCCAGGCCACAGAGATCAGCACCTTCTGCTTGACCTGGTACACTGGTTTGTGCGCAACACGGTACCTGGGGAGGAGAGCAGTGGTTCAGCAATTCTGATGAGCCTTCTGGACCTGGAGAATGGCCCACCCACCCCACTCACATGACTTTGACTCTCTGGCAGTCAGGAGCCCCCTGTGGACATGGCTGATGTGAGTGCACCAGGAATTTCTCTGTTTTGCAAGCGGCTACGAAGGTGACCAGCCTGGATTTCTGATAAGGACACCAGTTCCTGAAAAATAAGTCAAGGGAGAGAATTGCTAACCTTGCCCCTTTTCAGAAGTCCAGGGGGCTGCTGTTCAGGACATCTCCCCTTGCCTCCTGCCCTGCCCAGTGCTGGAGTCCTAGAACCCATTAAGTGTCTGGGAAGGCAGTGCTCCATATCCTTCATCCCTGAGCTCCACAAAGCCACTTCCCAAATCCTCCCTGGTAGGCAGCACAAAGGGACTAAGGATCCCCCATGTAACACAACAGAGTTACCCACAAATTTAGAAGAGTTTTCACTGTTCCTATGGCGCCAGGGAGGCATCATAGCACAGCTGGGACTTAGGTAGTCCTGAGTTTGAGTCCACATTTTCTGGCTATGTGACTTTGAGTGACACACTGTAGATGTTTTCATTTCCCCATCTTAATAATGGAAATGGTAATGCCCTCCTCCAAGTGGGCTGAGTACCAAGTGCTCAGCTCCAGACAAGTGCTCTGGGAACACTTCCTGCCCTGTCCTGGCAGCTGCCCAATTCTACTCACATCTTTTCTCACCAAAATATGCCAACACCTACTCCCTGGGTCTGCTACTGGGCCATGATAGAAGTGAACTTTCCAGCAGTTGTTGTTGGGAAAGGAAGTTGACTGGGTGGAACAGCCTCTTTTCAGGGAAAAAGTTACCTAATGATCCTGGAGGGCAGTTTAGGGGGGTCCATACTCTGTCCTGAACACCTGGGAGATAGCCCCTCCATCTTTGCCCCTTGTCAGCATGGACTGTGGAGGTCCTGGAATGGGGGCATACTCACTAACTTGGGAGCTGGCTCCCGGAGTTCAGTACAAGAGTCAAAGAGTCCTTCCCCCTACAGTTGGCTCCTGGAGCATATCTCTCCAGGGATGTAAGAGGTAATGACCTCTGTTACCCCATGCAATTCAGCACCTCCTGGGCACCAGCTGCTGGACTCAAGCACAACACTTGAAGTGACAATATGAAGGTGCAGACTTTCCCTTCAGGGTCCCAAGAAGAACAGGCAATCTCAGAAGAGACATAGCTAGGACCTACAGAAGCTCTCAGGAGATGATCACAGGGCTGTGTCTTAAGGGTGAGTCACAAAAGGAGCTGGGAGTTGAGACAGGGCTGTGGGAGTCAGACGGGGCTGCAGAGTGGAGGCAGAGGGGCTAGAAGTCAGACTATGCAGGGATGGGTACCAGTGGTGGAACTGGATCATTTCTCCAGGTCATGGGAAGTCAGGAGACGTTTCTAGCAGGAAAGCAGTATCACAGAGCTCTGATTCCAGGGGTCAGGAAGGATGGGTGTGGGTAAGGGAAAGGTGGTCTAGGCTAGAGGTATTAGGGTCTATGAGAGAGATGAGGGCAGCTTGGACCAGGTGATGGGATGTGGAAGAAGCAGCCTGTCTGGCTATGCGTGGTGGTGCATGTCTTTAATTCCAGCATTCAGGAAGCAGAGGCAGGTGGATCTCTGTGAGTTTGAGGCCAGCTTGGTCTACATAGTGAGTTCCAGACTGGCCAGGGCCACATAGTAAGGACCCTATGTCAAAACAACAACAACAACAACAACAAAAAAAAAACGAAACCAAAAAACAAAGAAGGCAATGTTCAGGGCTGGCTATGGCCATAGAGTGGCTGTTGACACTGGGATTTCACTTTCTTCAGGAGCTACTCTGTTCTGGGCCATTAGGCATCATTAAATGCATTGCTGGGGTGGGTGGAAGGAAAGACTGATGGCCACTGAGTAACTACATCATTGTGATTCTGAGACTCCCAGCCTGCTTTTCTACTTGGCTGGAAGAAGCCTGCCAGGCAGCCTTTACCTTCTGGGCTAGAAGACCTGTGCAGGAAAATGGCCTAGCTCCCCCAAAAGAAACCCAAAGATGCTGGCATCAGGGGAACCCTTCAGTGAACTGCCTGACAGAGCTTCATGTACCAAACTAGCCCAGAAAGCCATGTCCAGACATCTGAAGATGAAGTCTGAGAAAAATGTTACCCAAAAAAGGGAGGGGGGCTGGAGAGCTGGCTCAGCGGTTAAGAGCCCTGGCTGCTCTTGCACCACATGGCAGTTAACAATCATCCATAACTCTAGTTCCAGTGAATCTGACCCCCTCTTCTGGCCTCCACAAGCATTGTACACACATGGAACACAAAAGGGAGGTGGATTGAAGGTGTGGCTTAGTGATAGAGCACATGTTTGCAATACATGAGGTCCTAATTCAATCCTCAGTACTGAAAAGAAAAAACAAGTCAGAAACAGGTAGAAAGGACAGGTGGGGAGGGGTCAGTTTGGAGAGAATTAAGACTGTGCAGGAAGAGACAACCTCCCTAAAATGTACACTAATATTTCCAGATAGGCAAGAGAGGTTGCTATGTAAAAGAAACAAGATGGGGAAGCTGTGCAGAAAGTTTAAGGAGTTGGTAGGGCATTTAGGGAACTCTTGAAAATGAAAAACCTACATTAGGCCGGGCTCACACCTTTAATCCCAGCACTAGGGAGGCAGAGGTAGGTGGATCTCTGTGAGTTCAAAGCCAGCCTGGTCTACATAGCAAGTTCCAGGCCAGCTGGGGCTACAGGGAGACCCTGTCTCAAAAAGACCAAAAAACCTACATTAGAAATGAAAAATAAGGCTGGAGTTGTAGCTTAGTTGGCAGAGTGCTTACCTAGCACACGAGAAGAACTGGATTTGAACTCTAGCATCACGTAAAACTGGGTGTGTTGGCCTGTCATTACAGCACTGGGAGGTGGAAGAGGCAGAAGAGTAATGAGCTCAAGGCCAGGGTCCCCTACATAGAGAGTGTGAGGCCAACCTGGGCTATATGAGTTCCTGTTTCCAAAGCAAAAGCGAGTAAGAAGAACAAGTAGAAATTAAGAATAGGAAAAATTTTAAAAAGATACAGCACCAGCCCTGGAACGCCAACATCTAAACAATAGCTCTAGAAAGTGCTATGAAAAAAATTTTCCAGAGATGAAAGTCTTGAGGTTCTAGATATAAAAGGCTCACCAAGTACCTGCAATAGGATAGAAATGAACTCATGGCAAAGCTCACCACCGTGAAATTTTAGAACTCTGAAAGCAAAGAGGTTTTATCTACAGGGTTCCAGAGAGGAAAAACAACATATATATATGTGTACATACCCACACACACACACACACACACACACACACACACACACACACAGATTAGAATGGCCTTGAACTCCTTAATAGAAAACAAGAAACAGAAACACAGTGAGAATCACCTTCAAAATACTGGCAGATACATACTCAGGAGGCAGAGGCAGAAGGATCTCTGTGAGATAGAGGCCAGACTGGTCTACATAGCAAGTTCTGGCTAGTTGGGACTACAGAGAGACCCTGTCTCAAAACAACCAAACACTGGTAGAAAAAAAAGACATTACCATTTTCTTCAGGGAAAACTAAAATGTGCAGAGTTTAAAAAAAAAAAAAAAAAAAAAAAAGATTCAGCCGGGTGTGGTGGTGCATGCCTTTAATCCCAGCACTCAGGAGGCAGAGGCAGGTGGATCTCTGTGAGTTCAAGGCCAGCCTGGTCTACATAGTGAGTTCCAGGACAGCTGGGGCTGCAGAGAGACCCTGTCTCAAAAAGACTGAAAAAAAAAAAAATTCACAGTTTATGTTGAGATTCAAATCAAGTAACATTCATAGCCATATGGATAGAAATACTCTGACAATGTGGGAGGGCAGTGGGAGGTGTTTGCTCTCAACTGTGGTATCGGGTTGGAATGAGAGCTGAGTGGATAGGCAAAACGACTTCCCCGAGAAGATGTAATGTTAAGTACATTATTTAGAAATACAGAGATCAGTGACAAAAGAATTGCCTAAAAGGGATTGTGGCTTTTAATGGTCTCAGGAACCTTAAAGAATTGGTTGACTTCAATAATAAAAGACAAAGAATTGGTTGACTTCAATCCAGGAAGCCAGCAGGCTTTTTTCTCTAAAAAGACAGATGGTGAGGTTGGAGAGATGGCTCAGCAGTTAAGAACACTGGTTATTTTCGAAGACCCGGGTTCGAATCCCAGCACCCACATGGGCGCTAACAATTGTCCGTAACTCCAGTTCCAGGGGATCCAACAGCTTCTTCTGTCCTCCACGGGCTTTGCATGACGTGGGTGCACCTTACTTACATGCAGGTAATACATGCATAACATAAATTAAAAATAATGAATAAAATATTAAAAAAAGACAGATGGTAAATATTTTACACAAGACTAACTTCATAATTGGCAGAGTCCAGGGCAAAATGGAGATGTGAATTCTTTTTTTTTTAATTTTTAATAACTAAATGATTAGAAGAAGCATTTCACTACAGCTTTGACATATTCAGTAACACACTCCAGAGCAAGGATACATCTCTTTCAAAAGTGACTGTAAATTTTTAGGTTCACAGTTGAATTAATACACTT